AGCAAAGCCAGTTCTGAGGTTTTCCTGTGAAAACCACCCTAAGTAAAAAACCCTTTTCCCCTGGGCCACCTACTGTCCATTGTCCACCAATCATATACAGTCAATTTGTTTTGGGAACAGTCTGTGCATATTTGGAGCTTTCTCAGCATTTGACCTTGAGGTGTAGAAATTGTCTCAGGCCACAGACAAGACGGTGCTCTTGAATTCCTCAATTCTCTCCCAGCTCCCCATACATTCCAATCACTCCCTTCCCCTCTCCTTCCTAGTTTCTGTTGTCTGGTTGCAAGCAGAAATATATGAGAAGTCAACCAGTCCTCGACTTACGACTACAATTGAGACCAGAATTTGCACTGTTAAGTGAATCACATCTGATTTTATAACCTTTTTTTTTGCCACGGTTGTGAAGTGAATTGTCATGCCCCTGGTGGAGACTGACTCTGAGGGAGAGGAGGAACAGCCAACAGGGAGTGGAAGTGTGGCTCCGGAGGTTGTGGAGGAGGCTGGGAAAGGACAGAGGCCGACTGAGCAGTCAGAGGAAGACCCAGGCCCATCCCCTATCCATCCTAGGGCACGCAGGGAGGAGAGGATAAGGGAGAGATGTGGTCGTCTCAGGAGGAGAGGGCCTTGATCCTCTACATGGGCTGCAGGTGTGACAACTGAATAAGAGTTTAGACCTGCGTACTGGCAAACGCTGGAAACAAAGCATGTAAATATCTCTAGTTTATAGTTCCTCTCTGAGTTTGGCGTCCTTCCCAGTGTGCGTTATCTGTGGACATCCTCCAGCTCTTATCTTGCCTGGTTTGTGTTGCTTTTTTCCTTCTTCGTGTAACTGTGTGGGAGTTTTTTTGTCTTCCCTCAAAGATATTCGGAGCTTGGAAGCAAAGTGAAGGAATAAAGGGGGCTTCACCTGTTTTCTGTGACTGTGTTTGTTTTGTATCCCTGGGTCATCACATGAATCATGTATTCATTAAGCCAATCCGGCTTCCCTCATGGTCTTTGCTTCTGACTGGAAAGATCGCTAATGGCAATAATTTGGCCTCAGAACACTATAACCATCATAAATACATGTTGGTTGCCAAATGCCTGGATTTTGATCACATAACCATAGGGATGCTGCATCAGTTATAAGCATGAGGACCTGTTGTAAGTTACATTTTCCCATGCCACTGTAACTTTGAATGGTTACTAAATGAATGATTATACATCAAGGACTACCTATATATACAATGCAACTTAATGTATAGAAGAGACGTAGATTTTAAAGTAAAAAACTCTAGAAATCCAGACAGGGACCAAAAAACCCAGATCTGTGTTTAAAAACCCAGTTCTGGCCACCCTGCATCTAGTAACTTCCAAACTTTCTTAGAATTCACAGCCATCAAGTTGGGCTTTAAGGGAATTGTGTAAAACATTTAGTCATGGAGTTCATATTATGTATCACTTCTTTAAAAGTATATACAGTAGAACTTTTAGAATATAAAATAATCCAAAATTATGCATTTAGGTCTGATGAAAACATTTGTGAAATTAATGGGTTTCACTCATAATGACAGCCATAAAAGATTAAGCTTGGTCAATATGCCTTAAATGGGGTAGACTTGCCAATCAGTAGCAAATTCTGCTCAGTCTATCCTGGGCATTATTTATATCTTTTAATTTTATATTTTATAATGTACAGTGCCCAGAATCACTTTGGGATAAATAAGTGATAAATAAAATATTTTACATTTATTTTATTCCATCACAAACAATAATAATATTGTTGTCTAATCTATTACATGGCAAGGCTGAGAGAATAAAGGGGCACAAGAATACTACTGTATTCTGAATTCTAGTTTAAAGTTATTGAAAGAAAAATTAGACATAAATTTTTAAAAAGCCTTAGAAGTGACCTACTGTACAATCAACAGTTCTCAGATTTTTAAAAAGACATATTACTATGAGAAAATAAAATAAATATTAGGACTAATAAGTATAGCTTCAAAATCTGGATATTTACCCCAGTGTTTATTTTTTTCTACAGAAATGTGTATGCCATACTTCACACACAGTTTTAACAGATAATAGACATATTTATTTTTCTACATTAATATTTGTAAGTCAAGTCCTTTTAAAAAGAGACATCTCTCTTTTAATTTTTTAAAAATCAAAAGCCTTAAATTTGAAAAACTCATTTTAAATTCATTGATTTTAATCGATTTCAATTTATAACCTGGTTTTCTATGTGTGCAAATATAGATTTACTGTTCATTACTGACTTATCAGCTCTGGTTATTTTAGCTCATAGTAAAATTGACTTCCTGTTCTGAGAACGATACCTATGTTTGATTAAATGTTTGTTTGATTCATGCAAAAAGCATTTCTCCAGGTACTCAACCCATTCTTGCATGTTTTGTTTTTCTAAAAAATCCACTGTACTAAAAATTCAAGAGATATGAAGGGAGGAAATACCCAGTTCCTACAGATATGAAATTTATCTTTATATTGACGATTCGTTTTGCAGGTTTTAATTTCTTATTGCTTAAGGCCAAAAGATTGAGGTATTTATTTAAAAAAATAACTTGAATGCTGCAGTTTGAAAGCCCTAAAGTCCCCCAGAATACCTCAGCATCTATTTAACTGAATTGTTCCATTTTTCAGGGGAAATCTTTTGCCCCAAAAGTCTTAATGGGAACAAAAAAAAAATTCAATATTGCTGCTATGTCTACTTTCCAAACCTTTGAATGCAGTACCATAATGACTTGGTCCTCTTCATCTGAAGCGCTGAGACGTGAAACCTCGAAACATTCAGTTTTTCCTCGCAGCTATCCAATAGAATAGAGAACACACTCAGCCAATGATCTCCCCATCAGTGATTCTGGTTTATGTTGTGTGCATTTGCATTGTGGTCTTAGAAAAGAAATATAAAAGGGAGATGCAAAGAGATTTTTTTTTTTCCTGTGGCATTAAAGGCATCTGTGGAGGCAATGCCATGTCAGTGATGAGTGATAATGGCTGCCGAATCTGCAAGGTGAATGAGGAAAGGAGAGTTTGGGGCCTAGAAAGGGGGAGTCGAAGCAGGCCAGGTCACTGCAGAAATGACACACTCTAAAGCAGGGATATCAAACTCTCAGTGTCACATTGCTGTCACGTGACATATTGCAACATTTTCCCCTTTGTGGAGCTGGGGTGGGCATGGCCTGTGTGTGACGCATCCAGCCTACGGGCCACCAGTTTGACACCCCTGCCTTTGGAGGCTTTCCTAAGCATCAGTATTGCATAACAAAAGATTCATTTCATTCAGTTTATAGGGTGGCCTAATTAAAACCTAGATAGATAATAGACAGACAGACGGTTTGGATATCCTGCTATAAATAAGTATCCTGCCTCCGGATACTTTCTGATGATAGCCTCATCTAGAGTGCATTGCAATAGTCCAAACAGGAGGTGACCAGGCCATGAGTGACCAAGCAGAGAGCTTCCCTATCCAGGAAGTTGAGCGAAGGCCCTCTAACCACAACTGCTATAAGTGGGATCAGTTGCCAAATATACACAACCAGGTGGGGTCACACAGGAACAGAGCTTCCTCTGAGGTAGAAATGTGCTGGGTGAGGGGGGGTAATGAGAGAGAGAGAGAGAGAGAGAGAAGAGAAAAAGAGGGGGGAGATGGGAAAAAGAGAGGTGACATGTGGAAGACAATCTAGTTACTTGTATTTAGACTGTATTTTTACTTTGGGGTAATAGTTGGAGATGTAGAGAATTCCATGTCATGAAAAAGAAGAGCTCTGTGTTATGTGCCCTGGCTTTATAATAGCTATCATGATTTGCCATACAAACTTGCTAAATTGCAGTTGGTGTAACTATAGTCAATGACATGGATGCATATTTGTGTGCTCAACAAAGAGCTGCCATTTGGAGCACAAGCCCTCAATCTTTCTATAATTGTGTTGTACTTTGATCTGTTGGACTGTAACTCCCGTAATCATCAGCCTAAACAGTAAGTTAAGTGTTTAACCTTAAAGTAAAGCAGTTACTAAGTGAAATGCAATTGTGCCTATGAACTTACTCTAGCTTTTCTTTGATTTAGACTTGCAAAGATCGTAAATGCAACAGTCGATTGCAAAGTTAATGTTTCATTACAATTGTGACTGTGAATGGTCACTAAATAAGTCAATCACTGAATGAGAACTACCTATACTGGAAGCAGCAGCTTTTTTAAAAAAAATGCTGTTTGTATTTTTTGAATTAATGCATATAAGAAGCATCAACTCTGTTGCATAGCTAAATGTCTGTGGAGATTCTCAGCCATCTGGGTCATGGTTGTCCCAAAGGTGTTTTTTCAGGAGGCAATTGGATTTTTTTGTTTTTATTTGAAGATGTTTCGCTTCTTATCCAGGAAGCTTCATCAACTCTGTTGCTAGTCAAAAGTTCCAGAAGCCAAGAGAGCAAATGACATTATAGACAACACCGCATTGTTAGGCCAACTGTGTAATTTGCAACATGACATGACTGACCCAGATCACGGAATTGGCACCATTTGAGCAATAACATGTGATGGAAACATTTGTGATATAATAATGTGTAATATCTGTTTATCCCGATTGTATAGATTTGCATGACAAAATAAAATGAACAAAATATTACACCACCCCCACCCACCCCTGATCAGCTTTACTCCATAGTTTGCGCAATAAATATGCACATTGTTATTTCCTGCAAAACAGCAAGAACTTTTTGTCATGTCTTTTACACAGACACACAATCCTAGAATTTCTATGTATGGGACACATTTGGAGCCTAGAAAAGGGCTGGGATGAGCGTTGGCAAACTCTTCTCTGTTCCTTACTTATGATAAACTGGCTGTGGGGAAAAGCATATCACTCTGAGGAGCAAGCATAGCTGCCATCATCTTGTGACTAAGAGAGAACAGGTGTATGTGAGGGTGCCCAATAATGGGAGATATTGGAACTTGGGAAACAAAGGACATTATTAACATGAATTCTGTGCTCTTTTCTTTGCAGCTTGGTTACAAGTCCAGGATTATTCAATCCAGCCATAGAGAGGAGAACAAAATGAACCACCCAGCCCAATACAGAAGGTGCAGAGGGCAGTGGAAATGAAGCAAGAGGGCTTGAAAATGTCTGTGTGCAGTGATTTTGTGGAGCACATCTGGAAGCCTGGCTCCTGCAAAAACTGTTTCTGTCCCAGAAGTTTTCACCAACTGCAGGCCCTGTCCTTTGATCAGCAAGGCTGCAGTGAAGCTTTGCAGGATTTGAATGGAATTGGAGCCAAAGTTGAAAATACGCCTTGGGAGGATGACGGTCTAATTTCCTTGTCTTACTCAAAGCCAACTATTGCTGTTAAACCAACTATGATAACCTCGGATGCTGCTGGTGTGTGGGCGGATGGAAACATGAATACAGATGTCTCACAGGTAATGATTAATAAGGGGTGTGGTGTATTTTACAATGTTGCTTCCGTTGTAAAATTTGTAACTGCCTGGGAGCAGTCTTTGTATTTGTTATGGCAGGACTTGCAGAAATGGATTCTTTCAATTTCTTGAGCAGGTAGGGAGAAATTCAACAATCAGGAGGCTCCCCAAAATCTATTTCTTAGTAAAGTGGGAGATTTTTCAGACATTTATGATACTAGTGAGCAAGATGTTTTCGGTTTAAAAGCCAACAGAAGTGCTCAAATACTTCTTGGTACGAAAAGACTGTATCTGTTGCACTTTGATTCTCCAATCCAGTTGAGTTCCCACCACTGCACTGACCAATCCAAAGCACCTTTCAGTTGCCCAGGCTTGATTTCCAACCTTCTGAGCTCAGTTCACCTGAGATTCAAATATTTTCCACCTGGGTCCAGATTCTTTGGGAATCACAATGTCAACTGCCCTATTCCCAATACATGAATAGAATTCCATTTGAAAAAATACCTCCATAAAGAGAAGTGTTGATTGACACAATCAGCTCATCTCAGTTTTCTACCCCTTTGCTGGCTAATGATGTAAGTTTAAATTTCCTTTGATTGAAATATGAAAATGGTAAGCAAAACAACGTGAAACATTTTAAAAAAAATAATTACTCATTACTACTGGAAACAGGAAGATCTCATGTAAAAGGAGCGAGATTCTGTCTCTCACCTGATTGTTGTAAAATAGCTATATCTTTCTGAGGCAATCTCGCCTCGGAATCTGTACGAAAGAAACAAAATCTGTGAACAGTATTATTTTAGCATTTGCATGTCTCTAAAGAGTCCCCCTCCCCCAAAACAACTTGTGGGTATTTAATGAACTTGAATGAAAATTTGGGGCATTTGATAGGCAAGTATATGCTGTTAGATGAGCATTGAGCCTAGTCCTCTACCTGCCATGTCACCTATCAGTCTAGATTTCAGCAGGACGTCCCTCCTGTAGGCAATTGTACTTTTGGAGTGGATGGTTGAGCCTCCCAGATAGAGAAGCGTGAGAAATCAGCTCTTTCTGAACTTCAGTACGAATTGGATTTTGGACTAATATGCAGGTTGAAATGTTGTTTTATTGACCTTGATAAATGTTACAACACAGCTTTCAAGTTAACAAAACAAATAGGCAAATATATTTTAAAAAGTTTCTTTTTAATTGAAATGTAGTATTTCAGGTGAAAACAGGGTTATTATTTTATATATTCACTATTGTATGCATATCTTGCCATTCAATCGTTCTAAAAACCTAGAGAGCTTACAAGAGTAATAAAATGCAAATTATAAACAAAGCAACATTAATATACACATAAAATCATACACTAACATTAATTAGTTAACAATTAAAAGCTGGGTGATAGAGATCTACTTTTTCAATGTTCTAAATACTGGGAGAATGAAGGCCAAACTCATATCCATGGAGTGTGTTCCACAGCCTGGAAGCAATGCAGAAGAAGCCCTTTCTCATGTAGCAGATAATTGAACCTTCAGAAGGAGTTTGTTCAAAAGGCCTTTCCTATTGTTTTGAGTACCTGGAAAAGTTTCATTGGGAGATGCAGGTAGTCAGACCATAAATGTTATAGCATGACACCAATATCCCAAATTGCGCCCAGTTGGCAGTTAGCAACCAGTACAGATCTTCTGATACAGAAACTTATCTTCTGATATGTGATCCCTTTGTCTTGCACCTATCAGCAGTCTGGTCATTGCATAGTTATTTTCTTATAGCCACAGGAATGGGAGGAGAATGGGTGAGGGAAGACAGCCAATGACTGCAAGGCTTATTCATAAAATGCTAATATACAATTTACCATTATGTCCAAATATTTATATATGCACCCCAGATTTTACTCATTTATTTTAGTTTAATGATTTTGCTCAAGCATTTGAAGGTCCCATGCTATAAAATTATCTCATTTTATAACTTTAATTTTTTTAAAAAAAGTTATAGCTCACCTTTTCGGAAAGCTAGTTTCCAAATTAGTTAACTGCAAATATTTTAAAACAGTCAATTTTAAACATGTAGCATTAATTAGGCAGCTGTCATGAAAGTGCTTCTTCTGTTATTAAAGTTTTGGAATCAGGTTGAGAAGATCCAGGTTGAAAAACCAACACAGTTAAAAGAACAAAACTTCTCTGGAAAACCATGGCGGTATATCTTTCAGCCTGGCCTCTGTAATAAATGTATAGACAGAGGAAATCATGGAGAAGGAATCACGTATGTCATATTCAGCTCCTTAAAAGAATAACAATGGATAAAAATGCCAAGTATGTTAAAAAAAATACAAGACAAAACTAGCAATAAAATTATCGGTATCACCCCTGATACTCACTCTGATAAAAACAGAATTATTTAAACCAACACACAGGATTGTTTAAAAAAAACTTCTATAACTAATGATCAGTGTAATTCAATCATTTGCTATTATCTAATAAATCCAAAATTTTAATTCAATTTTATTGGAGGGGAGGTTGCGTTTCTACATGGCAGATATAGAAAAGATGTCCTTCGATCATCCCAGAATGCAGAAATACCCAGATAGATTTTGCTGTCTTTCCTAAGGAATCCACTTTTCCTTGGTCTACTAATGGACATTTCAAATTTGGGCTGGATTTATGCACCTGCGCTAAAACAGAAGTTGAGAGCCAACAGAACCATTGTGAGCTGCTTTACATGTGATCCTAAGTTATAAACCATGCCTTCCAAACTGCAGTTGTGGATATACACATTATGAACCATGGTCAAATAAACAATATGATGGCGTAGTACAATACAAAAACCAGTTATTATCACTTAGCTTTACAAAATAAACTTTTTTTCTTGTATCCTATCATTGGGCAACCAACTGCAACCATTCATCTACTTGGCAGTTTCAATTTTTGTCCAAAGGCAATCTTGAAAGTAAAAGTGATACTGGAATCTGACACTCTTAATGAAAATATTCTTTAATGTTAAAAGTCATGTAGGGAAAGAAACCTGGTGAGACTAAAATGGGTAGAAATTGTGCAGGGGAATTGCATTGGAAGTCTGTAACCTTGCTTATTCAACCCAATGTCTCTGTTTTCTTCTAAGCTGCCAAGGAATATATGGGAGGGATATGTTTGTTTGTTTGTTTATCAAATTTCTACACCTCCCATATCACCTATGTCAGGGGTCCCCAACCGCCGGTCCGCGGACCGGTACCGGTCCGCGGAACAAGTCTTACCGGGCCGCTGGTTGCTGGGCGCCGCCATCTTTTTTTGGTAAAAAAAGTGCTTCCGGTGAGCTTTTCCAGGTAGAAAGCTCACCGGAAGCACTTTTTCATCAAAAAAAGATGGCGGCACCCAGTTGATGCCGGTACCAGGCCGCGGCGCCCAGCTGATGCCGGTACTGGGCCGCAGCGTCAAAAAGGTTGGGGATCACTGACCTATGTGACTCTTGGTGATTTACAAATGAAAAGCATACAATCAAAGACAGAATTTAAAAAGAATGAAAACAAAGTTAAGGAAGTTTTTTAAAATTTAAAAGCAGACAGAGCACTGGGTTGCATAACCTTGGATTTAACAAACAATTGGAAATAACAAATACTGTATCACCTCCCCACAATTGATCAATTAAACCATGCTAAAATTGCCAACGTTACTATTAGGATGGATCATGGAACTATCAATATCTATAGTAGACGGATTATCAACATTGTTAAAATTTCTTCTTTTCAGTAAAATTCAGTTCCACTCAAATGTACCAATCTTTGGTTTTAGTATACCCAATAAATCTGTATACGAAAGGAAAGTATAGTAAATCTGTAAGGTAATATAAATTGCTAGCAATTTGATTTGTTTTATTGCTTTATAATAAAAAAAATTCACAAAATAAGGTCATAATCCCATTGATTCTAAAGGAGAGTTCATCCACATATTTAAAAATTGTTCAACATTTTAAAAATCATTATATATATATTTTTGGAAGGTGGATACAGCCAAATTATAGAAGATTCTAATTGAGTTGTGTATGAAGTATTTTTTAATCTTTTATTTATTTATAAAATTTATATGCCATTCATCTCATGGTACGAGGTGACACATAAATCTCCATCCCCATCCTGGAGAAATGTTTATCCTGCTACATTTCATCTTTGATCAATGCAGGGCAACGAGATCAAAAGGAAGCCCCAGAACATCCCCGAAGATCGTCCTTTATTCCTTGGCCCATCTGGTTCTGAAAGGGTAGAAAGAAATATCTCATACAGCAAAGAGGTATGTGTCCTTGGGGACGGGTCAAAGCACCCAGTAAGAGGAACACAGTCATGCCAATTTGGAGTCTCAATTTCATTCCTGTCACTTCTAAGGAAAGTGCTCTTCCGTCCACCCCAGGGAAGCACTAATGTAATTAATTTCCCTGAGCAAAAGAGTGAAGGTTGGGCATATTTCCCTTTTAGTGTAAACCACAAAGCCTTTGAGAAACCCACCACCGGTGTAACATGGCTTGATAATGGAAATTATTTTTCAAAATTGCAGGGCCAGGATTCCATGGCCGTCGCATCCAGGATAACAAATTTCAGCGAAGATAAAAGAAGGGTCTTGAACTCATTCTCCAAGTTTCATGTGCATGATTCTGTGTATAACCCCTTAAACCCAGAAAGAGACTTACTGGCATGTCCACCCGATACTGTGCTAAAAAGCAGCGGTTCTTTCGATTTGTCCCAAGGAAGTCCTTACTGTCTTCTGGTCAGAACCTCAGATCAAATTGAAAACAAGCCTACAGATAGCAGAAGTCATTCCAGAGAACAACAGCCTCCCTTTCAAGGAAAGAGCCAAAATGAACCCATCTATGCCGAGAGTTCAAAGAGGAAAAAGATGCAGCATAATAGCACTAATACATTGAAGAGTGCTGTCTTGACTATTAGCCCAAGTCAAAATCAACATGATGGGATGAAGACCCTCCACTTGAGCTGCGAGAGGAATTTTCAAGATCTTGGTTCACAAAGAGCAGCAACTATTACTATAATGGCCCCACAAACAGAAGATGACCACCGAGCATTTTTTCTTAGCAGCCCAGACTCAGCAGTTGGGGTACAGTGGCCATGCGTTAGTCCCACTATTAGCCCAAATACTGAGAAATCATCCTCCCTCTTTGAGCCTAGAGAGTTGCCGCAAGAAAGATGTGATATGAATTCAAGAGACAAAAGTCCAGGGGCTGAGTCTCCAATGTCTAGTAAGAATATGATTGATAGGAGTCCTGCTATTCCTCCAAAGATGTCCAAAGGAAGCCCTCCTAGACATGAAGAGTCTTTTCCACAATCAGTCAATTCTTCCATTAAAGCCCGTTCTTCCATTGACGAAACCTGGGATACCAGCATGCCAAGGAATGAGACCGATGGCCCTATGATTGAGCCTTTGTTGCCCTTGTGTTCCCAGATTAACAGCATTTCCCCTGATGAATCCAGCAGAGGTTCTTTGTCCTCAGGCTCTGAGAGGAGACCAAAATACTGCCATGCATCCTGGCATAGGCCATGTAGGATTGAGGAAGAAGAGGAGGAAGAGGAAAGAAATGAAGCGGAAATGGAGAATGAAATCACTATTTCTCCAAGTTTTTCGGTTCAGATGAAACCATGCCCTATTCAAGCAATTGAGACCGGAGAAATGAATCGGTCAACGACTTTTGCTTTTGATGAGCCTAGACCTGAAGAAGTTATAACTCCTCGGCTGCCTCCAAAGAAACCACCCAGGTAAACATTTTTTTAAGTTGCTTATCAATAATCAAAGATAGGTAGATAGGATAAATGATGTAATTCAGGATGTTCTAGTGGTGATTCTCTGTTTCCCCTAATTCTTGCTTTCCAGTGGAAACATTTGAGTGTTTCCTAGAATAAAACATTTGTATATAAGCTATATGTGTTCTTAAACAGCAGCCTTCTATTTTGTAATCATTTCTAGTTGAACTAGAGTTTCAGAAAACCATTAGCTGCAACTTAATGGAAGTGAAATTTTGCTAATGTTTTAAATAGCTTCTTTGAAGCATGAGTTGAAATCAACCCTATTTTTTTCTCGCATCAGAGACTTTTTTTTAACTGTAAGCTGATAGACAAAAATAGCATTTCAGATGATTGAGCAGTGAATCAGTCATTTTTCTGGAACAGTCTCTCATCAAGTGCAAACAAAAGCACATTGCTGGTCAGAGGAAAACAGATGTGCCTGAATTTCTCACCCTTCTGACACTAACTTCATTGTGTTGCTCTGAGTAAGTTCATCCTGCTGAATGAATGTCTGTAAGGACCAAGAAGAAATTGTAAGGAAAGGCCTAGGCCTATTTATTTGGAAAATCAGAAATTAATTATTGTGAAGTATTTTTAAGACAGCACCTCCAACTTGAGAGAGTTGTAGTAGTTTCTAGTATTTCTTTTCAAGTTCAGTTAAACTTTAATGACCTAGGTCAGTGGCCAATGAAAATCATCAGGAGCAAAGGTTTATGACTCCTCACCATTAAACATCAGTTTCAGAGTTGACTCCAGAGTTGAAGGAATTAAAATTGATACCATTAGCACTGTATCAGCCCATCTGTAATCTAAGAAGATAGATTTGAGACATCTTAGAGAAAACTCCTCATGGGAAAAAGATGGGCCCTGCTTCAGATGTTGGCTTGTGAATAGATAGAAGGGACTCATTCAATTAGCCCCATTATGTGTTTCAGGAAAGCTGCTTGGCTGTTTATCTCAAAATCCAATTCAGGGAATGCTTAAATAAAATGGAATTAAAGTTTCTATTTTTAGAGGCTGTGTTACTTCATTTTTAAACTCTTGCACAGAGTGGCAGAAGGAATGAACAGTTCTTTGTTTCAATCATTAGTCAGTGATCAATTAACTTCACAAAACATAATCATCCTTTATCTGTTATGTAGAAGGAAAATGGATCTTTGTGTATCGTTCAAATGTGCTGCAGGCAAGACTAGAAAAGAAGAATAGAGTTGACAGGAAAATGTAGTAATTTTTAGCACTTAAAGCCAGAACCCTTTCTGAAGAGGGAAATACAGAACGGCCATATAAAATCACATCACTTAGGAGGATGAAGAGAGGCAAAGAGCAGCTTGTAACCTACGTTAAACTCCCGTTCCAATTAGCCTTGCCAGTATGGCCATAGTGAAGGTTGATGGAACATCTGGAGGCATAAAGCTCTGTTAGAAGCCACAATCACATTAAAATGACATCTCACACATTGTCTCATTGCAAAGGTAATGCAATTACATAATTTGCAGCTGGCACATCTGTGGCTGACACAAATTGCATGAGTGCATCATTTGGGCAATGATGTCATGAAGTGTTTGCTGTCATTTGCCCGCCAGGATAGCGGAGTAATTTGGAGTAATTGTTTATAATGCAGACTTTTTCTCCATCAAAATTAGGATGGAGAAAAAGTCTTAGGAATCAAATTGTGCTGAAATCCTAAATTAAGGATATTGAACATTAAGGGTGTAATGTCTGAAAATAAATAATAGAACTGGCTTACTTTTTCACATGCATATGGACACAGAATATACATGATTGCATTGTGCTTCTTTTCCTTGTGTACATTCTAATCATCAGTCATTTCTGTATTTTGAAGAAAGCTATTCCAGATGTCCTAAAGGTGCTTTTTTCAAGAGACAACTGGACTGCCTTGTTTTTCTTTTGAAGATGTTTCGCTTCTCATCCAAGAAGCTTCTTCAGCTCTGACTGGATGGTGGGGAATGGGAGGATTTATATTCCTTGCAAATCCTTCCATTCCCCACCATCCTGTCAGAGCTGAAGAAGCTTCTTGGATGAGAAGCGAAACATCTTCAAAAGAAAAACCCAAGAAAGTCCAGTTGTCTCCTGAAAAAAAGCACCCTTGGGACAAGCATGACCTGGATGATTGAGAATCTCCATAGACACTCTTCCAGATGTTATCTCCCTCCTCATTATATCTACAGAATACACATTTTTACTTTTTGAAAAGATGTTTCATTTTTGTAAAAGGAAGCACCACCATTCAATTAAACATGGAATCTTCCCCTTCAATTGTAATTAGGGGACTTTGGTTTCCATTTTTATGTGAAGCAGTTTAATGTGCCAATGAGAAGCCACCTTTCTTTTGCATCATTCCCTTAAGTTCTGGAACAGTATCCTTGACTCCCTAACCAAATGCATGATGTAGAGAAAGTGAAATTAAATATTTGCACATTCAGATTTTTATATTTCTTATAAATATATATATATATATAAACCACTGAGGAAACTGGACAGAACTCATTTATGACTAAATACAGATAGACCTTGGCTTATGACCGATCACTTAATGACCGCTTGAAGTTTTGATGACCCTCCCCTCCCAAAAGCTCCTTACAACCCAGTTCTGAAGTTCTGGTAGCTGTCCTTTCCTCCATGGTCATGTGGTTGCATTTTGGGTTCTCGGCAACTGGCCTGCATTTATGGCTATTTGTAATGTTCCGCAATCATACAATCATAACTTATGATATTTTTGCTGGAAACTGGTGTTTTGCTTCCAATTTCCAGCAAAAACGGCTCCATAGCAAACAATGGATTTGCTTAATAGCTGCCACCTCACAAAAGGTCATAAAAATCACCAGTCACGTGACCCTCACAACTTACAACCATAATTGCCAGGCTCAATTGCAGCCGTGAGTTGAGGAGTACCTGTAATGCGCAATTGAGTCAGACTGACTGATCCAACCTAGGTTGACCTGTTCTCAAGATGGAAGGAGAGACCATGGAATGATCATAGAAAAAGCTTTTTCTATTCTCCTTTGCCTTTAGTCCTGGTAGAAGATAACTTCTTATTCTTTAGCAGGTCTCTCAATAGCCCAGGAGATTTTTTCTTTTGGTGAAGAATGGTACATGCTCTTCAATGGGACTGTCAATCTCCTCGAAGTTCTTTTTCAACCACAGCATAATGGACCTCTTTATCTATGGTTTTTTTTTTTGGTGAAACTGATTTTTTTTTTTAGCTTCAACCGTTACCTTTTTAAATAGGTAAATATTGAAGTTTTCTTTTATAGGTACAGAAAAAGTGGTGCTGATGAAGGTTATTTCACACTTTCAATCCAGTGAACTCAATTGCTATTCTAAGACTAGCACAAGACTATTTTCTGGGTTGTTTACTCATTTGCACCTGCCAAGGACATTACCTCAAAGCTGCCAAATGCCCCACTTCTTTCAAATATTACCTTCGGCTAAAGCCTTTGCAGAAATGTCCCTCTATTCCACTGACTGAGATAGCAAAATGCAGGAACAAAGAAGAAAAAAATATATCATTTTTGTTTCAATATTTTTGAATAGAACAATACTTCTGTGAACTGTGACTTCTTCAAAGATCAGTGTTTGCGACTTTTTCAGAATATTTTTTTTACAGGGGCAGGACTTCATTGTTGTAGTGGTACTAACAGAATAGTATTGGGCTTTCTATTGCATTTATAAGTTTTATGGTCAAGTTCAATCTGAAATTCAAAGAACACGCAAGTAGGATATGCTGCTTATGGCTGGAGACTGGAAAACCAAGCTTGAAAATAGTGAGTTGTAAAGATTATGATCTAGGAATTCCCATGATTTTTTTCATTGCAAATACAATTTTCAGACAACCAGCAAACATAACCAGATAGAGTTCCCAGAAATCTGTTTGACTATATTTTTGGTTTTAAAAAAAAAGGATGGAAGAACTTGGTTGTAACAGCAAAGATGTAATCGGGCTCACTGTGGGACAGATCAAAAACTGCTTATGTGCGAGTTCCAAGTCAAAAGAACAAAGCCAAATTAGTTTCTGCGGTATGGGAACCAGAGGAACTATGTAATGAAATCAAATAAATTTTAAGGATGAATGTAAAAGGAGACTGCCAAAGACCAAGAAACAAAAGAAAGCAAACTGGATGTTAGAACAGTTGGTAGAAATTGCTGAGAAGAGAAGCCAATAAGAAAACTAGAGTTTAAATTAAGTTCTCAGAAGGAACTTAACCAAGAAGTTCTAAAAGCTGTTAAAAGAGATCAGAAGCAACATCATAATGGCATCTGTAAAGGCAATGAAGATGAGAACAGAGTTGGAAAAACAAGGGATGTCTTTTTGAAAGATCTCTAACTAAATTCAAATTATTAAGGAAAAGAATCTGATTTCAAGAAGATCAAACAAATATGGAATATCCTGAAATTAAAAAGTAGAGATGTTTAAATGCAAGCTATCTTAAAAGATATTCCCTATTAACATTCACAAGAATCTTTGGTGCCAGAAGATTAAGTTATATCAGAATTCCAATTAGTGCCAAGTCACAAGGCTATGGTGATTGATAAAATATCTATAAAAATATAGCAACCAACAAAAGAAGAAGTGGCATTGTCATTGATGCATTGGACATTGGACAATCAAGAACCAAAAATACCAAAAAAGTCAATATGTGCTTAATTGACTATAGAAAGACCTTTTATAGTGTGGATCACATCCAGTTGTGGATTGTCCTTAGAAAAACAATCATCCTAGAACAGTGGTTCTCAACCTGTGGGTCGTGACCCCTTTCACAGGGGTCGCCTAAGACCATCGGAAAACACATATTTTCGATGGTCTTAGGAACCGAGCCATAATTTTATGGTTGAGGGTCACCACAACACGAGGAAATGTATTAAATGGTCACGGCATTAGGAAGGTTTAGAAACACTGTCCTAGAACATTTTATTGTCCTTATGCAAAACCTATAAACAGGGCAATAAGCCACAATCAAACAGAACTAAGCATGGAAAATCCAAAGCACCAGGATGACCATGAATATACAGCCATTCAATCTTGTCAAAGTTAAGCCTATTCCTCCCCAACAATCTCCAGGCACTGGGATAAGACTTTGACAGCATCACTGTCAAATGATAGTGATTGATAATACCTAACCTTGCATGGATAACCAGTAGCTTCCTGCAGATATTAAAAAGGAGGGGGCAAGAGCTTCAAACCTGTGTCATCCTATACAAACCAGGGGCTTCTGACTCTCTCCTTCCTTTCCTATCAATTTGACTAGAACCCAATTCACCAGGCATAGCCAAAAGAGTGGTACCACCTATCACCCTGCCTTCCCATCTCAATCTCCACAGTCAGAAGAATATTGTTATCAATGGTACTGAAAGCAACTTAGAGATCTAGGAGAATCAAGATGATTGCATCACCCCATCCTGGATTAATAGTTAATAGTTCTCAGCAAATGTTATCAGTGCTATCTATGCCCCAGCCTGAAAGCAACTGAAAAAGATCCAGATAATCTTCCTCCCAGGCTGTCTGAAGGTGCATTCTAACTATTGTTTCAAAAATGGGTAGGTTGGAGACCAACCAGAAACTTTCCATAACAGTTTATTTCAAGCAAATTGAACGCCCTCCTCCTCAAATAGGAATTCGTTTTTGCTATTGCTTATGTCCAATCATTTATAATCATCTCTCAGGAGGACTTAACTAGCCAGTAAAACATGCATCAAACAAACATGCTGATTAACACTGTCCATTTCTTTAAGAAGTACAGGATCAAACATAATGTCTCTAAAGGTGGTCTTGTGACTTCCCACCACTGAGAGCTCAGGGGGTCATTAGTTGACAAAAATATATCTGAGCTGTGTTCCCCAAGCAGCAATGCTTTTACAGTATACATCACTTTCACTCCTATTCAGAAAGTACACTTTATATAAAGCATAACACAATGGGAACAAATAGAACTCTTCCACAATGACTTTCTGTGATCAGTGCTGCAGTGCTTTGCAAAGGCAGCTAACTTGCTTGTGAAAAGAATTTCATCAAAAGAATATCATTATTCAGTGGCTGAAATGATGCCACTGAATAATGATATTCTTTTGATGAAATTAGTGCATTGTCAGATATATATTTTTTTGAACCGAAGTTAGGTCTTCTGATTTCATACCATTTGATGGTATTACTAAGTGCCAAATAAGTGAACTCTGCTGGTTTCTGCTATTCATCCAGCTATTTGGTTTAGTTCTGTAGGGTTTTTTGGGTATTATATTTTTATATTATATTTTCATGTTTATTGTGAGTTTTCAAATTAAGAACTGTGGATGGGAAGAAGAGGTTAATCATATTGCACAGGTAAACGTTAATAAATTTTAAAAGGTAAAACTCAATAGTCCTTGGCAGTCCAGAAGATTAGCAAACAAAGTAAAATAATTCCTGAATAAGCATAAATAGGATTGGATTGTTGCTGTAGCTTTTGAAAAATCAGAATCAGATGGACATGGATTTAAGTTTATGGCGTATGTTTAAGGTTTAGTCAAACTAATTATTGTATAATGAACTTTATTGTGCATGATGAACTTTATTTTTTAACATAAAATATAAAAACCTTAACAGACCTATACTTATCAAATATGTTAATAACAAAACATCAGAGACCAATGGACCATAACAACATTTAGTAAACCAATCGTTTTTTTAAAAAAAAATGAAGTTTTTGAGTTTTAGCTTATGTTTGAAACGTCTAAATCAACTTCAAGCAATAAGCTATGTTTATTTTTATTCCAACAGTTCCACGCGAAGCCATGTTTTCAAGCTTGTTTATGTTATAGCCATGGCTTGCAATGACAGATTTTGAATCCACGTGCTGTGCAAGAGGAATTGCCCCTATGCTTACCCATTGAGCTTTATTGCTCTTTAACAGAAGAATTTTTAAGAAACATTTCTATAAAAAGTTTTTTTTTTAACAACCAGAAAGCCCAACCAAACATTTAATATGCTGCCCTTTTTGTAACATGTCTAGGGAGGGTTGATTTCTAAGAAGGAACAAATAATTCCTTATTTATACTAGAGCAGTGGCCCCCAACCTTTTTTGTGCCATGGCCCGGTACCGGCATCACAAAATGATCCACGGCCCGGTACCGGCATCAGCACACATGACAAGGCAAGGCGAGCCGAGCGACCAGCCAGCCAGCCGTCCCCCGCTTCTCCCCACCACCTTCAACTCCTCCTTTGTACCTTTGTCAAAGGGCTTTGCTTCGGGATGGCTTCGGGACGGTCGCTCGGCTCGCCTTGCCTTGGGTGCTGAAAGAATCCTCGCGCCTTAGTTTCATTCGAAGCCACCACCCCCTTCGATGAAACTAAGGTGCAAGGATTCCTTCAGGACCCAAACGCCGCTTTCCAACCGGAAAAGCTCACCCGGAAGCACTTTCTCGTCAAACAAGATGGCGGCGCCCAGCAAACCGGCGGCCCGGTAGGAAATGTTCCACGGACTGGTACCGGTCCGCGGCCCGGTGGTTGGGGACCCCTGTACTAGAGTGTGGACAAGACCCTCTCTGGGATTGAGTACATTCCCAAAGGTTTACAGATGAGAATTAGAATGGCAAGTGTTTCAGGAAGTGACCTGGGATCAATCTTTTCTGTTGAATGAGACTTTAGGAATACCTGGGGATGCAGGTGTTTGTGTTTAATACATAGTCAAGATGCTTGGATTGAGAAAACACAAATTTTACTCCTGTACTTTGGGGAAAGATGAATGCTATATATTTTCGCTTTTAGGGAGGGAGGGAAGGAAGGAAGGAAAGAAGGAAAGAAGGGGATGGAGGGAGGGCAGGAGGGGGGAAGAAAAGAAGGGGAAGGAAGGAAAGGAAAGGAAAGGAAAGGAAAGGAAAGGAAAGGAAAGGAAGGAAGGAAGGAAGGAAGGAAGGAAAGAAGGGGACGGAGGGAGGGCGGGAGGAAGGAAGGAAGGAGGAAAGGAAGGAAAGAAGGGGAGTGAGGAAGGAAGGAAGGAAGGAAGGAAGGAATGAAAGAAGGAAGGAAGGAATTCACCACTAATTGTGCCATCCCAACTCCACTCAGCCCTGTCCAAAAATAAAGTGGGTAGTGAACTTAAGCCAGACATCTTCTTTCAGTTCTAAAAAGAAGGCAATGGCAAACCACTTTTGAGGGGAGGGGGGAACTTGCCAAAAAAATTGCAGGCATTTGCCCAGGCAGTCTTCAAAATTCAGACAAAATTGAACAGAAAAGAAAACCCTAGCTCAGAGTTATATCATAGTCCCTAACCTGTCATCTGTCCAGAGACTGACAAATTTAGTACTTGCTTAAGTTTATAAATATGCCACTACACCTTTATCTATCTGTTTCTTTTTGTCTTGTTGTAAGAGGGCACTTTGTTTGTATGTACTACATCATGAACAAAATAGGGACAAGAGAAATAGATACAAACCGAAGCAAATCTAGCAAAATCTAGGGGCTCTCAAACAGACCTACTATAATTTTTCAAATACAACTTATCTATTGCATACACAGTTACCATATTTTTATGGCATATTTCCCCCCCCCCCTCCCCAATTTCTAGGCGTCATCTACAAACAACAAAAAATGGTGAACTGGAGCAGCTCAACAGTGATTCTACTGAGAGCCTCAGGGGATCAACGGCCAGCTTGAATTTGGATACAAATCCACTCGGCGGTGGAGGTAGTTAAATTTTGTGTACTAGTGTGGGAGTGTGATGGTTATGTAAGAAACATATTCTGCAGATGAAATGATTTGTACTTTGCATTTCTTCAGTTGATCCAAAAACAAACTTGTGCTATAAAATCAGCTTGCCACTTTTCCAAAGAATCTTGGGAGCCATCTTCTTGGGTAGACTACATGCTTATGGTAATTTATAAAATTTGTTGATTCACGAGTCGGGGAGGTATTGCAGGGCTACAAGAACACTAGTTAGTAGTGAAGTAATAATACAGCTTATTCATTCATTCATGATCACCCAAATCAAAAAAAATAAAATTCTAGGTCTCAAAATCATCTAGCAAAAATATAGAAGGAAATGAATATCTACCACAACAGCAGGCTAAAACAATTAAATGGCAATTGGAACTAAAAAATGTTATAACTCACCAATTGGGAATTCTGCTCATCCTGATCTAAGAATCTAGGAAAAGGCCCAGATCTTAACTACCTTTCTAAAGACCTGCAGGATTAGGAGCCAATCCTACATCAAGAGGGACACTATTTGAAAGGAAGTTATTACCACTCCCCTGAAAAACTACAGAACTTATTTCTTCCTCAGCTAAATGTAAATTCTCTTTTCCATATTTTTGGTATATATCACTATGAGCTGCAAAAAATTTTTTCTAGGGTGCGTATTTAGAGTGTCAGTAATGTATTTATTCCATTTGTTTGTTACCCTTTGCAAATTGAGAATGCACCATGTGGAGACGTGTTGAAGGGAATATAGGCAAGTAAGGTGTCCTTTCAGAAAAAATTATCCAGCCTTATTTTTTTTAATTGAAGTATTTATAAAAATCTTCTGAAGTACCACTAGCTTATGTAATGACATAGCATGAAAGTCATAAAAGAAAAATACATTTTTCCTAACTTAGCAATTGCCTAATTAGGTGGTAGAGCACACTACAGAATTGTATGTCACCATTAGAAATAAAAATTTATTCATTCATTTGTCACAGTTGCTCATCACACAATCAAGTCACTCTTGATATAACTGTAATTAGCCTTTTCCCCACAGTTTTCCCAAGTAGATAAGAAAGCTTGCTGTGTCACTGTGTGATTTTCTGCACTGTACTTGCAAATCAGTTATACATAATGCAAAACTAGAAAGAGAAAGCATATTCCTAACCTGTGAATTTAATTTTAGAAAGAGAATGATCCTTAATTCCAGAAATTTAGAGGAAAAAAAGCATATATTAATTGTTTTTTAAAATGCCATGCTTCAGCCAACTTTGGTTTTTCAGCATGTAATGCAAAGCTGACTTTCTGCTTAAATATTTACTCTGTTCCAGCTTCATTTCTGTAGGGCAGTCACCAATGCTCACCTATATGACAAAATGTCGCTGATCTTCAAAACACTATGTGGCATTGATTGACTACCTTTCAGTAGTTTTTCTTTATTGTACTTAGTGATTCATTTCCCATATTAGTCAGTTTATTATAGTCTTAGATTGGTATGCCCATATGAATATACAACATGTGTTGTTATACTTAGTTTCCACTACAGAATTAGTTGGAAATCTACTTTGAACTCTACCCTCTACAGAAAAACTCCAATTTTAAGATGGTTGTTGCTACTAGTTTGATTTGAAAATATATAATCTCACTACCTTCTCCAAAACCTTCTCCCCCAAAAATGAAAAGTGAGAGATGAAGCAACAGTTATCCAAAATGACTGAATCAAGAAAGGATCCCGTCAGATGGCACATCCTCCTTCCTCAAAGGAATGTTAACCATTTCCCAGATCTAGTCATGCCGAGTGAGCATAACCACCCTTGCTAACCAGAAAGGTCTAGATCCAGCCTATGGGTTGCAGAACTTTTATACACACAAATTCTTGAACAGCCTATCAAACTAAGCGTTCTTGCCTTATTGATCCCATAGACATGTGTTGCACAGATCACATGCTACATCTGTAACATGTGAGAGAAACAACGGTCCAGTTTGTGACCGATTTTGTCATATGTATTGAGCCCTGGGTCCATTACTGTTGCTGTCTTCTGATAATCCAGTTGGGTGCTCAGAAAAGCTTTGCTACATCAGGGATCAGTGGTGGTGGTTGCTTCACAGCCATTTGTTGCCCATATTGATATATGGGAAATCATTTATTCCCATACCATATTTGGTAATAAAGAGATTATCAGTAACTGATTCTGTTCTTTACTTCTTATTTTTCATTTTTAGATAGATCTTTAGAACTTGATACTAGGCTCATGCTGTAAAATGTGTTTATCTATGCTGCCAAGATTCTCTGGCTTATAATTATCTTACTCGTCTGTGTACATTTTAGGAGAATTGTGCAAAATGAGTCTTCATTCCTCCATCCGTACTGAGAAACCTGCCTTGCCTTCTGTTCATTTCCCCCCATGTTTGACTAAAAACACGGCACCGGGCAAAACTGTGGAGCCGCCCCCTCTGCCCCAAAAGAAAACTGTCAGCAGAGCTCTTTCATCACCCGATGGATTTTACTGGGGCTCATCCTCTCCGTCCAAAGCAGCAGTCTTCCCGAGCTTCAAGTTGAACTCCAGTCAATCAGAAAGTAATGTCTGTATCCAAGAAAAATCTCTCTTTTGCTCTAACTTGGGAATCAACCATCATACAATTCCCTCCCCTGAGTCTCTGGGAAAGAACTTCATAGGGTCCATCGCTACTCCGTTCCCAAGTTCTGCTAAGAACAGCAGCCTCTGTGGCTTTCAGGATAGAAATCTTCCATCTCGTTCTTCCTCGCAGCACAGTATATCCACCCAGGCCTCCTCAGGTTCTGGCCTTCAGCTCCATAACCTCTTCGGCAATATCAATAGCAAAGAAGGCATGTATACCAAGTTAGGAGGACTCTATGCAGAATCTTTGCGCCGCCTGGTCTCCAAATGTGAAGAATATTTTATGCATGATCAAAAAAGTGAACTGCGTTTTAGTGAGAACTACTGGCCTTTCTTCAAACTGACGTGCAACAAACCATGCTGTAACGCGGGAGATGCAGTGTATTTCTGTGCAACGTGTGCCAAGGATCCTTCTAGCACTTATGCAGTGAAAGTAAGTAGTTGAAGAATATCATTTTGTAATGTAGGGGTCAGAAACATTTCTCATGCCTTATACCACCCTCCAGGAAATGTATCAAGCCAAGAGTTCATTCAGCTAAAGCCAGAGCCGAGAAGGAGCAAGGGCTCCCATCCTGCAAAGTCCTTTTTTTGTCTTTGTGACACTTCAAATAACTAGAGGAGGAGACAACTCTCCAGAAGCAATGCAAAGGTCCAGAGAGCAGGTAAACCTAGAACTAAGGAGAAATTTCCTAACGGTGAGAACAATTAACCAGTGGAACGGCTTGCCTTCAGAAGTTGTGGGTGCTCCATCACTGGAGGCTTTTAAAAAGAGATTGGACAGTCGTTTGTCCAGAATGATATAGGGTCTCCTACTTGAGCAGGGGATTGGATGGAAAGACCTCCAAGGTCTCTTCCAATTCTGTTATTCTGTTATCTTGAGGTCTGCAGGATGATTAAAAAAAAATAAGTTCCATATGATTACCAAAGTGGACATTCTCCTCAGTCGCAGTGGCTTTTAGCTGGTCTCTTGCTGCTAAGAAAAGACATCTGTCATTAGTCTGGAGAACTTCACTAGCTCTTAAATGTATCTCCTAAAGTCATTGTTGAGTGGCTTTGTTTGAGGTGAAATATAGGCAGATCACGAGACCTTGAGAATATCACCGGGTTTCTTTGGCTTGGCTTGGCTTTGCCTGTGTAATTAGTCAAAGGATTTTCACTAGTCCGATTTAAATGCTCACATTAGTTAATCTTATTCAAAATTCCTGAAATAAATGGCCTGGGGGGAAAAAATCTCCAGGTTTCTGGAATATAGGGCCAAACAAATATACCATCAACTTTTTTTTTCTTTTTCTATTCTGATCAAAATACTTTGGACTTCTGTTTGAGATCTTTTCGGAGGTTTTACCTGGATTAGACCATTCCTTTCCAATGGCAAAATTCAGGGGTGAATAGCAGCTACAGTAGCAGGATTAAGCCCATTGAGAAACCAATGTAGATTTAAAAGGTGAGCATCAAGAAAAACAGAAATACAGGGAATAATTCACTCCAAAATGCCAAGTCAGAACAAATAGAAATTTGAAAGAAAAAAAAAAACCCAAAACTCTCAGACACTGTCATCAAAAAGGAGAGTGGTTTTGGGTCTCTGCTGATGTGCTTGGCACTAACATTCTCCTTCTTTTAACAGGAAAGTGAAGTGTCTGGAGTCAGGCCAGGAGGGTGTGTGGCTGGGATTGTTGTCCTGGCACCCTTTTAGTGCCAGGAGAGTAGAACAATCAGGAAGTGAGTCTTGACCCTTCTAACATTATTTGAGCACGAAGTGGTGCCAAGAACTTCATGAGGCCTTGAATTCCTGTGATTCATGAGAACCCTCCATGGGTGCAAATGAGTCATCCATTCCAAGGCATTTGGCCATGTAGGGGCAGATCTTCCAGAATCTTCCTGTGCTCAAACCCATCAGAAAGCCTGGGGGACTTCCCTGACAGTTGCCACCTTCGTTCTGGCTTTTAGTTATGTAAGTTTTTAAAGGGTGCCCTGGCACAATTGCACATCCTTAAGAAAAAAAATACCATCGTGCTTGAACTTTCCGAAAGGAGAAAAAAAAAAAATATTTTCAAATTATTTCACTCACATAATTTTGATTGTCGCTTCCTGATCTTACTTCAAGATACGGCTACATCTTTTCAATCCAAAGAGGCTGGAGATGGTTTTAGTCACGTTATAAAGAAGTCAAGAATCTGCATTACTTTAGTTCCGCTGATCTTGAGTTTGCCTTTTGTGGATTGTGGCCTTAATTTTCAATGCTGTGCACGAACTGTTGTCTGCATGGATGCCAGTTTCACAAAAGGAAAGGGCTTGCTCTCCTGTCAGTCAAGCAATCACACGGCATGTATGCACAATGGGTGTTTAAAATAGAGTGTGCGATTGCTAGGAAAGGAAATAAGCCTTTTTTGTGTGTTCATTGCAGACCACATGCGTGTATGCCTATGTTACAGAATGTGTCTTTATTGTCTCAGGCCAACATTGTTGCATCATAAGGCCGAGCCAGGAAAACTAAGAACTAAGTGAGACTGCTGTGTGGGAAAATTTAGTTAAGCAGTTTGGGACAATCCTTTCATTTTTCACCGCTTAAATATTTGATTGATTGATATATTTCAGGACTTAGTCACTGAGCTAAATAATTTTCCCATGTGCCTTATGTTGCAAAAAAGAAGGCACAATTCATAAAAGAGGAAAACTACAATATCACCAGTGCTTGAAGTCACCCTCAATTTTAACAGCAGTTTCAGGCCTGCTTGAAATTTTGAGCTAAAATGTGGATCTGGTTATGAAATAACAGATCATTTTGATTTATTTAAATTAGTCATTATGTTGCATATCGAAAATCTGGAGCATTTCACATAGTATCCAAACTCCTCTTTTTTCTTTCTTTCTGCCATTTGCAAGAGGTGGATGGGATAGCCTTGCATAATATGGGGCTTTTGGCACACAATACAAGGAGGTCCACATATCTGTATTTTTTTTAATCCAAGTTAATAATGAGATGGTTCTTTGGGTAAATTGTAATCCAGGAAGAGATATAAAAGAACCCTCCTTTTTAAAACACTGTTGGGAAATCTTGTAGTGTAAGTAGTATAATAGATTATTCATAATTAAACTTCATTTTTTGTGGAAGCTCTTAAAAGTTTTAGATCCTGAAGTGTGTGTGTCTACTTGAATCAAAACAATAAATCAATTTATATTTGAAGAAAATGATTAAAAAGCAACAGCAGTGAAAATCATCTTTTTGCTCATGTGAGTCCAATAGAAATGGAGTAATTAACACGGTAATAATTTAAGGAATATCAATTGTTGTAGTAGTAATAACAACAATATAAGAGTGTCAATGTGTATTACATTTTTTTTTCCCTATTCAATTGTGTCAGATTCTTGGAACCTGACTAAACAAGTTCCTGCAGTTTTCTTGGCAAGGTTTTTCAGAAGTGGTCTATCACTGCCTGCTTCCTAGTGACGAGAGAATGTGATTGGCCCAAGGTCACGAGGTGGCTTTGAGCCCAAGGCAGGACTAGAACTCACAGTCTCCCAGTTTTTAGCTGGATGCCATCATCATGTCAGAAAACTGTTCTTTACAGCAGCAGCCCCCAACTTTTTGGGCACCAGGAGCTGGTTCTATGGAGAGAGATTTTTCCGCGGATCGGAGGGGGTGTGGTTTTGGGTGCGGATGGGGGTTTGCTTTTTTGTGCAACCCAGTTTCTGGCATGCTGCGGCCCAGTGCTGGTCCATGGACCCGGTTTTTGGAGACCCCTGCTTTACATAGTATCATAAGGGGCGGAGGAGTAGTCTAGAGACAGGTTGTCTCCATTTAGATTAGATTTACAGAAAGGAAATGGGGATGAGAAAAACCTAAGAGAGTAAGCCAGTACCATCTAAACTACTCAGTAAAGGTCAAGTAATATGAAAACTAGGAGGATTCCTCCAGTTCTGATCCTTCCTCACCTTCTGCTCAATCGTAACTCCCTGTCATCATATTTAGCAGTGATCGGCACCTCATGCTGTACAGGTATTTGGAATTCAATTTATATCAGACCCAGGTAACCATGATACAAAAGCTAAAGGCTATCTGGGAACCACAGCTAAAATATCTGAAATTGCTTTTTGGTTCAAAATTGGTTCTAGATACCTCTTTCATGACTCAGCTGTTTGGATATCTATTTGCTTGCTAATTGCTTTAGGGAATATCTTGGCCTCTGTATCTACTTCTTTGTTTCCTAATCAGTTTCCAGATGTTAGCGACATTTTAAATATTTGCTTGTACTTTTTCCTCATAGATATGTACCTACCAAGACGTTAAAGCTGCAGCATCCTGCATTAGCCCTTCTGTTCCCATTCACTTCAATATCCAGCAGGACTGTGGGCATTTTGTAGCCACTGTGCCCTCCAGCATGGTGAAAAATGCTTCCATGGATAGCCAGTGTCCTTCCCACGCTGCCACGGAGCAAGAGTGTGTGGTTGTCATTACCCGCGAAGTGCCACACCAGACTGCTGCGGACTTTGTGGGAGTTGCTGAAACTTTCCATAAAGATGAGCCAGACCAGTATGAGAGGAGAGTGTGTTTCCTGCTGCTACAGCTTTGCAATGGGTTGGAGCATCTTAAGGAGCACAATGTCATTCACAGAGATCTCTGCCTGGAGAACTTGCTGCTGGTGCGCTGCAAACCTTTCATAGGCTGCAGCAGGACCAAAAATGACAAGCATCTGCCAAGGCTCCTCATCACCAATTTTTTAAAAGCCATGCAAAAGCCAGGCACCGATGAATCCAAAGCAAAGAAGAACCAGGCCCGGTTAGCTCCAGAGATTGTATCGGCCTCCCAGTTCAAAAAGTTTGATGAATTCCAAACCGGAATCCTCATCTATGAGCTCCTGCACCAGCCTAACCCATTTGAAGTTCAGACCCGTCTCAGAGAACAAGGATACAACCAGGGTGATCTCCCTGCCCTTCCCAATCTTTCCATTTATTCCAGCGGGCTCCAGAAACTTGCACATTTGCTCCTGGAAGCAGACCCAATCCGACGGATCTCCATCACAGAAGCGAGGCGGATTCTTCAGTGTCTGCTTTGGGGTCCTAGGAAAGACATAGCGGATCAGCCCCTAAAGCACAAGGAGGCCCTTCATGGAGCTCTTCAGAACTGGATTGACATGAAACGGGCTTTGTTAATGATGAAGTTTGCCGAGAGGGCAGTGGATGCAGAGCACAATGTTCAGCTGGAGGACTGGCTTTGTTGCCAGTATCTGGCCTCTGCAGACCCCTCCTCTCTTTTTAAGTCTCTGAAACTTCTTCATCTTCTCTGATCTCTGTAGCGTTTTTCAAAGCTGGCATTGGTTCTGGCAGAATCTGCATAAGAGTGCACTTAGTTGGCTCGATTGAAAGTGGGTGCACACATCACATTTTTTCCTTTGTTTAACATTAACTGACCAATTTTTGTTTTTTAAAAAAAGATAATGCATTTTATGCAGTCATTTTGAATGTTATAAAAATGTAAACAGTGTTATCTAGATTCCACCTCTAAGAAACTCTTGAAAGTCCCTTTTAAGTGTTTTTTTCCCCCAATTTGAAGGAGTTCGTTCTTGTAAGATTTTTGTTGTTATTTTCATATGAAATAGATTTAAGTTAAAAGAACATCGGCATTTTGTTTTATTCTTGTGGGTTAAAGAAAGAAAAAATTACAGAGAACTGTGCAACCAGGTCCCAACAACGTTGCCTTGAAATTGCATCTTACTAAACCACTGAAACCAGTCCTTTCAGTCTAGTTTACAATTCCATCTTGGTTGTTTGGGTTGTGATGTGCTTAGTGCAGTATTGCTCAATTTGACGCTAGCTGTGGGAACTCTGGGAGTTGAAGTCCATATACGTTTTAAAGTTGCTAAGGGTTGAGAAAAACTGGCTTAGAGAAGACAGGGCAGGGGATTGATGGGATCTTTCAGAGGAGAGAAAAATGGAAAGTTGAACAATAGGCATATTTCTTTAGGGTAAGCTTCAGACCCATATTCAGCAATATTTCAGGCTCTTGTTCAAAAGCAGCCCGTGTACACTGAAATTCAATGATCCCAGTGCAAGGTGACACTATAATGCAGAGGTCTCCAAACTTGGCAACTTTAAGACTTGTGGACTTCAATTCCTATAATTCTCCAGCCAGGTTTGCTTGCTGGAGAATTGTGGGAGTTGAAGTCCCAAAGTTTTAAAGTTGCCAAGTTTGGGGACCCCTGCTATAATGGAATTCCTAGGGGGACAATCTCCTGACATCATTATTAACTCCTGTTTAGGCATGAGTGGAATTGTTGCAAAATGGTCTTATCCCAATATCTGCAGGCAGAAGAACGTTCTGGCAACACAGGACCTTCCCCACAAGTCTGGTTTTATATTCTTTATTACTCCATGTGTATTTCTTTGGGATTTTTCTCTTCTTGTTAAACAAGATTCTCTTCCTGTGTTTTTTCTCGAATATGCAAATAATCTCTTGGCATGGCAACATTTCCCCATCTGACTGAGTTTCTTTTACTGTGATTCTGAACCCAGTAATCATTGCAAGGGCAGAAGAAACCTAATCTGCCTGATTCCCCAACTTCCTTTGAACCAACTCCTTCATTTATGCCTCATTTGAAACCACATGTGATTATGTTGGGCTGGCTTAGCAATTTTGGGTTTATATATAGATTATCTATTTCTATTTCTTGAATCGAGATCCTATAAGTTTCAAAGTATAAGGTAGAGAGGGACCATCCAAAGCCTAGTGCTGCATATAGCTGCTCAAGCCCATGTTTCAAAACCCCTATGGCCTTCTCATCAACTTCTCACTACAAATGCTTAAATGATGCATGGCACAGTTTCCCATGTAAATTGTGATGTATTCTCCAGAATCACAGGATAATAAACTGTCTCTATAAATCACCAATTTTTGTGTTCACGTTCATAATGTAGGTCCATCCATTTCATGTCATGGAACACAACTTACTGCCACCAGCCAGTGATACATAGAGCCTCTAGCCACCAAATTTTGCTCTCCCCTGGTCTATAGGATGAGTGAAACACCCTCTGGAAAGTTTAACAGTTCTAGCAGGTTTCTTGTTGCATTATGCACAGAAAGTGGAATTCATAAGAGAGATTTTGCAATTATTGAGACTATTCTCTGTAATAGAAAATGCAGATATTTATTACGCAATGTATAATGGTGCACATAGCCTTTGAGCTATGTAAATAGAACAAGCTTGCTGAGTTTCTATCTAGAGTGAATGCCTATGATCTGATACATAACATCTCTACAATATTTGCACTGAGAAAGCGTTGAGGAAGCGTTGAAACCCCAGTAGCCATATTGTTTACAGAGGGCAGTGAGGAACAATGTAAGGTTTATATCACCAGCTTTGTAATGTAAAGAACAGCAGCGTCTGGTTTCTTAGTCATACTATGATTGGTTTGGATTTCTTCCCATTTTCCTTTACTGATCTCACATAACTCAATATTGGAAGGGATTGAAAAGAAAAGCCATGTTGTAAAGGTTATAAAAGAGACTTATTACAACTCTTATTCCATACGTTTTCTCTCTGGGGCCAAAATTAAAGAGACCAAGTGGCACCAGACAGGGCCTTGAGGGTATTTTTTGTTGACCCCGTACACGTTTAAAACTAATACTGTCATTATAACACATTCTCTCTTTTCTATATTTATTCTAAATGAAAAAAAGTTTAACAAGGATAACACTGAGAATCGGAATAAGTTATCCTGTCAATGACAAAACCCAAAATAATAATTTTCTTTCTTGTCCTGTTCATCGTCTTTAAATGGTGCAGAAGTGATATTGGAAGGGATAGAAACAACACATTGGTTGTGATGATACAGGGTGAAATCCATACCTAAACCAAAGAGCTTTTTCATCTGACACTTTGTTTTCAAGACAATGGATATTTTTATATCTGCAAAGTATTTACAGGTAATCCTCAATTAATGACCACAAATGGGATAATTGTTATTTATTTTAATTTTATGTATTTGTATTTATTATTTTTACAAATAACTCAAGGTGGCAAACATACCCAACCCACCTTCCTCCTCCTATTTTCTCCTCAACAACAGCCCTGTGAGATGAGTTGGGTTGAGAGAGGGTGACTGGCCCAAAGACCCTGCTGGCTTTCATGGCTAAGGTGGGACTAGAACTCATGATTTCCCACATTCTAGCCTGTCACGTTAACTACTAGAGCATATTGGCTCTCTTGTTTTTCTGTTGCTAAGTTCTGTTCTCTCTGTTTTTTCTGTTGCTAAGCCAAGTGTTTGTTAAGTATGTTGCACCTGATTTAACAATCTTTTTTGCCATGGTTGTTAATGAATCATTGTAGTTGTTAAATGAATCTGGTTTCCTCTACTGACTTTTCTGGTCAGAAACTGGCCTGAAGGTTTGCAAGTGGCAATCACATGACCCCAGGATGCCACAACCATTGCAAGTGTGGGATTATACCGGTTTGGACCGGTTCTATAGAACCAGTTATGATTCTATGCAGTTCAGAGAACTGGCAAATCATGCCCCTGGCTGGCCCTGCCCCTCTCCGCCCACCCCGCCCAATCAATCCTTATCGCGCATGCGCAACATTGTGCGCATGCCCGACATTGCTGACTGCGTTCTTACCTGCCCAGTCACTCTTTAAGGTATTTCTTTTCTTTTTTTCCCTCCCGATGATCAGCTGTTCCTATGATCAGCTGTGCCAGGATTCCCCTTGCTTACTTACTGCTTCACCCAGGAGGCTTCCCTGAGGCCCAGAAGGCCCCAAAAATGGAGGGGGTGTGCTGCAAAAAGAAGAAGGAGAAGAAGAAGAAGAAGCCACGCCTACCCAGTCACATGGCCACGCCCACATGGCCATGCCCACCTAGCCACGCCCACAGAACCGGTTGTTACAAAATTTGAATCCCACCCCTGAACCATTGTAAATACACGCCAGTTGCCAAGTATCTGAATTTAGATCACGTTACCACAGAGTTGCCGCAACCACTGGATAAGTGTGAGGAACAGCTGTAAGTCACTTTTTTCAGTGCTGTTGTAACTTGAAACAGTTGTAAACAGATGGTTGTAAGTCAAGGACTAACTGTATTGTCTACCTTTTATCCTTTATTAGTTTCTCTTGATACTGGGAAACAAGGAGAGAAGAAGGAAAAAAAGTCTTCACATCCAGATGCTCTTAAAGACACGGGAGAAGCACCGGGATAGTGGTGCATTTATTTTTAAGGAGGTCTGTCTGGGTGGATATGAAAAGCCAATCAAGGAAAGACTGTCTCAATCCTGACTTGACACAGGTCCTGGTCAGCGGTTGTCACTATTGGCCAGAGAGTTATGGAGGTATTATTTCCCCTAACTTTTGCAAAACCATTCCTTTGGATTTTATTTTTGAACAGAGTCTGTTATAACCTCTTTTTCTCCCATTAGCTACTGCTGACAATGCTCAGAAACTGATATCCACCAAGATGCCACAATTCCTCTTAACTGTCTACAGTACACACCATCAGATCTTAGAATGAGGAATACACATGTTTAAATCTCCTGGCTACATCTCTCTTATTTATTTTAACACATTAATATTTCACTCAACCCCACAATTCTAGATAGCTTTCACACTTTTAACAGGAGTAAAATTCAGCCTCACAAAACTATAAACCCAGCCAACTGTAAAAAATTTAAACATCCTATGCATATCTACAACAAAGAGGGAAAGTCAGCTCCCAAAAACGCTGGGTGGCTTACAGTTAAAATTATTGGTACTATTAAATGAATGAATACTTGAAATATTTAATTTACTTAAAATAACCAAGGCATGTACTTTGGAACTACATCTCCCCTTTCCTTGAATGTCCCTTCTTTACATTCTTGTCCTATGAATTTTAATCCTTAAACTTCTAACATTTGTTCTATACTCTGAAATCAAGATCTGCAGGATTGTTGTGCCAGAAACCACAATAAAACTATCTCACTGAAAGAGGTCGATGTTGTGCTTCAAGCAACAGATGGTGAGAACTGATGTGCAAAAATATTTTCTTAGGAATTCTCTCGGCAGTGTAGGACTTGGGGTCATAAGGAGAAGAGAATATTGTTCCTGAAGAAAATATTTGAATGAGATCCAACAAGCAAGTATTGTGTTTGCTTAGATACTCGGGCAAAGATCAAACACTTGCATAACAAGATGACCCATGGCCTTCTGAAGGCAAAAGAGAACAGAGATAGATGGAGTTGGAATACAAAAATACCCTTCCTTGATACTGGTGCTTGTTTGAACCAAACTCATGCCAGGTAGTTGTGTCACAATGTTGTTATTTGCAGCACTTCCGAGCTGCTTGCTTCATGTTACATATTCTGTTATGGTGATATAGGACAGATAAATTGCCTCTTCTTGGGCATTTTGATCAATAGTTTGTGGACTCTATCTATCTATCTATCTATCTACCTACCTACCTACCTATTTATCATCTAATATATATGGCTGCTCAACTCACACAGGTGACTAGCAGCAATAAAATATCATAATGTAAGAAGCCACCCACCCACCTTTGTTATTTCATTTATATGGCCACCTATCTCAAATTCATAACTCTGGGTAGCTAACAATATAGTAGTCCTCCTTTTTTGTGACTGACTTGTTTAGCAACCTTTCACACTTGCAACGGTGATGAAAAAAATACCTTTGCAACCAATCATTGCATTTACAAACTTTGCAGATCTATAAGCAAAAAAAAAAAAAAAAAGCTAAAGTCAGATTGTAAAATCATGATGTTTCAATTGCTGTAGGGATAGAAGAAAACTTGCTTATGATCCAACCTTAATCAGCAGTGAATAGTGCATGCAGGAAGAATCCCTGCAGAAACAAAATACTTTAGAATAAACTATAACCTTGGACTGTACTGCCACCTCGTGATTTCTAAAATAAAGTGAAATTTTCTGTTTGACTGTTTTTAAGTACAGTGTGCTATAGAACATTGGGGATAAAGCCAATTCTCTCCTGCATAATGCTGCTAATCATAAGTTTTTAAAATGTATGACACTAATTTAGTATGACACTAAATATTCATATTCAAACATGATAGCAGCTGGGGAATGACAATGAAGGGAGAGATATTGTCCTTCTGACATGTTTGTTAATTCCCTTTGGATGAACTGCTTAGAATGAGGAAGCTTTGGGGGTAACACACATCCCTCTTTTGATTCCAGCAGGCCTCTTGATGGCTTTTATACCACCACATGTACTATCCTTCTGGATTATCTGCAGAGTTTGGAGATTGGAATCTATGAGTCCAGAAGGTCATTTAATTTATAGACCTACCTGCTCCTTTAGGGGAAATACCATCCCTAGAGAAACATTGGAGCTAGCAATGAATTGGCACATTACTTCCAGGGAGGGAAGAAATGTGAAGGGCACACTAATCCAAACTTCAATATCTATCTTCTGTTTAGTCTAGAAAAATCTGCTTTGTTTGCTAAGAAATAGCATAATTTCTTCTATGTTTGAGAGTGGCGCTCGTGAAAATAAATAAATATGGAATAAAATCAATGACCAAAATATTAAACTTGCAGGTTTGCTTGTTGTTTTGTTTAATTAGAATACCTATTTTAATGGTTTTAATGGTTCTTTTCTTAGCAACTTTATCTTTCTCTCACTCAACCTCTTAAGTCAGTTAATAGTTTTGATTCATTTAAACAAGTTTGTCTTTGTTGTTTTAACTTGTGAGCCACCCAGAGTCATGTAAGTGAGGTGTGGGGAGACTATATAAATCCAATGAAATAAATAGATAATTTTCATTATAGCAACAACCCATCATTTCATCACAGCTATAGCCTATACACAAATGTAAAACACACACACCTTACAGTTCAAACCAATTCTGAGACACCATATGGAGAAACAAAATCACTCTGAAGTAATTTGTACTGAATCAGGACCATGATAAATAGTGTGAGCAATTTCTAGAAGTAGCATATCTGAGCTGCAAAAAAAAACCACAACGAATCAATGGCAAAAACAAGATATAGAAAACTCTTAATTCTTTGCTGCTGACTAGTGACAATTCATAGCTTTGCAGTCAAGTTACTATATTTTCAGCAATGTGATTCTTTGGAAAACTATACAGACAGGCATAAAGTTTTTATAGGAAAGTATAATCATCCTTCTCTAGCCATGATGGAAATGAATAAATGGCTATCTATCTAACAATAATGGCAAGCTCATCAATCTCCGTAATTTGAGTGAAATATGTTTGCTTTCTTTAAAATGTCCTCTAATTCTATCCAAAAAAGAGAAGGTCTGCTTTTAATCATAGCAAGTAATAAGCTTACAAAACAGTTGAACTGATCCTCAGGCAATTCGGCAGATTTCATAATAATAACAGTAATAAGGCTATAATATTCATGAGTTCTATAGAAACTGACTCTTTGCCCCCTTCCAAATTTTGAAGACAGCCACATTAATATACCTGTAGTTGTTAAGGCAGGGGTGGGCAAACTTTTTGGCTCGGGGGCCGCATGGACTTTTAAAATTTGACAGACGGGCCGGGTCAGCACAAGATTTTTTGGGAATCGCCCCCCACCCTTTCTCCCCCCTCTTCTCCTCCTTCCCCTCCCCTCGGAGGCCCCCTGAGTCAGGAGTTGCTACCGCCGGCGCGGCTCCGCACGGCTCCAGTCCCGCATTGCCTTGGGAAGGGAAAGGCAAAAAGGAAGAGCCGCGGCGGTGTTTTGCAACGGCAGCAACGGCACCGGAGGCTCAGGCTCAGTGGCTCCTAGTTTTGCCTTTTCCTTCCCAAGGCAATGTGGGACTGGAGCCGCGCGGAGCTGCGCCGGCGGTAGCAACTCCTGACAGCCCCAGCCGGACACCTGAGCGGAGCCCGGGCGGAACTGCCTGTTGCTGCTGCCGGAGCACCACCGAGTCGCCTCCTCCAAGCAGCCCACCCACCGGCCGGGCTTCCCCTCCGCTGTGCGGCTCAGGGCCAGGCGCGAGCACCCGCGAGTTAAAAGGAAGCCAAAAGTTGCTGGGAAGTTGCTCGGGTTTCCGGGGCTTCCAGGCTTAAACTTTGCACAGGCAAAGATTGCAGGCGGGAGCGTCTTCCCGCCGAGGAGCGGGAAGGGTTCCAGCGGGCGGGCAGGCTGCTTGGAGGAGGCGACCCGGCGGTGCTCTGGGTTTCCCCTCCGCCGCACGGCTCGGGGCCAGGCGCGAGCGCCCGCGAGGAAAAAGGAAGCCGCAAGTTGCTGGGAAGTTGCTCGGGTGGTGGGAGCAGGCTTTTAAAGTGCCACCCGAGCAGGACCGCCGAGCCGGGAAACGGGGCACCAACGCAGGGCAAGGCTCCACCAGCAGCGGCCTAGCTTTAGGTGGCTCCAAGCAGCCCGTTCCAAGCAGCCCGCCCGCCCACCGGGTGGAACCCTTCCCACTCCTCGGCCGGAAGACGCTCCCGCCTGCAAACTTTGCCTTTGCAAAGTTTAAGCCTGGAAGCCCCGGAAAAAAAAGGGGGATCAGCGGGGACTCACCTTCGGAGAGGTCGCACTCGAAGGTGATTTCGAACTCCCAGCCGAGGCCTTTGCAAAGTTCTTCTTTTCTTTCCTACCCCGAGAGCGCTCCGCACTGTTTTGCAGCTTTGGGGGCCACATGGTGCAGGGCAATACGCCACGGCCAGCGATTTTTTTTCAGGGGCGGGCCGGATTGGACAGACCAACGGGCCGGATGTGGCCCGCGGGCCGTAGTTTGCCCACCTCTGTGTTAAGGCATTAGACTAGAAGCTGGAAGACTGTGAGTTCTAGTCCTGCCTTAAGCACAAAGCCAGGTGGGTGACTTTCTCAGCCCTAGGAAGGAAGCAGTGGCAAACTACTTCTGAAATCTTGGTGGGAAAACTTCAGGAATTCATCCAGGTGATCACCAGGAACCAATATTGACACAAAGGACAAAACAAAAACAATTTTTGAAAGATTCCCTTAATAAACATCATAACAAAAATATAGGAGCATATTCTTTTTTTAAATTAACTTTCACTTTATTTTATTACAAGTTTTTAAAATACAAAACCATATTTTTAAAACCCCAATTAATTACCAAAAAAAATCAAGGCCCCTAAACTATTTAACAATTTTTTTTTAAAAAAATACATAATTAGTAATAATTTAAAAATGGGGAAACAGAATGATATTACTAATCTAAATGTATACCTACAATTCAAGTGTTAAACAAAATATTAAAAATCTCTTCCTCAAAAGAGTATCCTGACTGCCAATTTCTTCCCTTTTCTTGGAAAAAAAAAATTTGGGTGCTTCCCTGCTAAGCCAATGGGAGGCAGGAAGCATCTGTTTCCTGTAACTTCTGCCTTGGGGAGAAATCCAGTTGGGCTACTTAGCAATGTCCAAATCAGCTCATAAACTCATAAATATATAAGCACCAGCAGCTTTTATTTAAAAAAAAGAAAAGAAGACGTATGCCGTCTGCATGAAAGTAGGAGGAAAACGAATAACTAAATTACATTTAGATTTCATTTAAAACTAGACTTTTAACAGAATTTTTCATGTCTATATAAGGACAATTATATCTTCTCCTCTGCTTTGGAATAATGGAAAAAACATAAGGTGGTGTTTCTAACTGTAGGGATTATATGTAAGTAAGATCAATGCTTCGTCTTCTTTTACTAATAGTAAAAACAAAAAGACATACACTGAGAGAAAGAAAATGTACAGGAGGAAGACAGTCAACAAAGCATTGGGCTATTCTTTATTTCAATATCAATCATATAACACATGCCACGGTTAGCTCAAACATCTCTATAGTTGGAGATTTGCAAGTTAACCAAAAAGTGTTGAAAATATAATCAGCTTCAACCATAAGGCCCAACATAGAAACCCAAAGACCTGGACAGAGTGAAGGCCACAGCACCAGGTTAAGAAGTCAAAGAAGTTCAGCAGAAGATATTAATTATTCCAATGAACTGCGGTCTGTTTTCTAAGCCACCGAGTCCAACTTTTGTTCCATGTCTAAGTAACAATAGCAATTGTAAGCTGTTTCTAGAGTCCAAATGTCTCTATCCATAAGTATCAACATCCTGGATAGGACCAACACAGCTCCAAATGAGCTGCAAGGAAGAGAGACTCATTGGGTGTCTAATGAGAGTAACAATTCAGCTAGAGGAACAAGTTTATTCATGTCTGAAACCAACTGAAAGAACAGAGAGGTCCTCCAGGCAGGATAAGAAGGGTAAGTACAATATGGTAATGTCTGGAATAAGATCATCCAAGGAAACCCTTCTTTTGGACCTTTCATTTTTGCCTTTTTGTGACATGGATATCCAAACCCTGTGAGGTAACTTTCTGAGTCTTCGCTATGAGGGTGAAAAACCTGATACAAAGCCCAAAACAGAATGGAGGTACAGTACTATGACAGAAGATTTACTTTATAGTAATTTAGAAGCAGCCCTGTTTTAAATATGCTGTCTCCTGCCATTTATTATAGCTATCTGAGAAAACATCTAAAGAGGCCACGCCAGAGTGACTTCCTGCTTGAAGCAAAAATGAAAATAAATTAGACATATGAAATGTGCTGCTTGGAATCATGGGATTTAAAAAATAAAAATAAAAAATGTATTCTGGTCTGAATTATAATAAAATGATGCCTGTAATAGAAATGTCTTGATTTTAATGTATCTCCAAACTCATCTGCTATTACTGTTGTTAATTTCAAGTGACCTAGTTAATGCCATGACTATTGTAATGTCTATTTTGCTCCTGTGCATGCAAACTGAAATGCATCAAAAGAGGCAGTTGTGCACTTCTGTCATACACAAAGAAACAAACACCCAAACAAAATTATAACAAAAAAACTAATACAAAAAAACTAATACAAAAAAACTAATACAAAAAAACTAATACAAATATAGTCACTTCAGGAGTTGGGTAGACGGCATACAACAGAAACAAATAAACCTTCCTTTATCCTGTCTTTTTATTTAATATGCGGCTTGATAGTGTTCTTTAAAATGCAATAATCACTTTGTCACCTAGAGATGGCTAGTTTGCCCTAACATAAAGGTGCTATCTCTCTTTATATTTGAAAATAACTTTTTGAAAATAACATTTTTCATAATGGAGCCAAAGAGGACACATTAATTGCCAAGCCATCTGGAAAAAGAATGGCCATTTATGAACTAACTGGTGTTGGCTGACTGAATAGATTATACAATAGAGCCAAAAGTAGATATGGATAGCTGAGGTATGACCCTTTTATCACAAGCCATGAAGAAACCACTAGATAAACTACTAGAATATAGCTAAAAATGTTTTTTGGGGAGGCTTCCCCATTTCACAGAGACTATACTTTTCAAATGCTGCTTTGTTGGTGATCTTCCAGCCTTGATCTCACTTAAGTCAAATGCTCATCATACAGCAATGAACTTTTCCTATATGGGATGAGCTAATAGTAGGAGTCGTAAGACAGCGGCCAATTCAATCTGCTTAAGAAATCTAAGTCTCTGCCCTAGATTTCCTGAATACTTCTGTATTAAGAAGAAAAAAAAGGAAATGTGATTTGCTTGCCAAAACAGCATTTTCATTTTGCTTTCATGTCATGAAGTTTGAATTGACAGATTGTGCTTGCCTGATCTGTGGGGCTCTTTCTGGACACTGTTTACAAGAATCACTGGAAGCAGATGAGAGCCTCAATACTGAACTGTTTTAACTTTCCCATTATATATGACATGTTTAAGAAGAATGAGAGAAACACATGTGTGTGTTGCTATTTTTCCCATCATAAGCATGTCAGTTAAGCAGTATCGTCGATGGGGGGGGGGGGGGGACAAGGCAGTTGTGATGATAATGAGAATCACTAAGATTTTAGTTGTTGGACTAATAAGGGACAGTTATATACATAATGACAGCTAATTTGATGTAGTGATTAAGACATGAGCTTAGAAACTGGGACACTGTGAGTTATAGTCCACAAAGCCAGCAAAGTTACCCTTGGGCCAATCACTTTTTCTCAGCCATAGGAAGGAGGCAATGACTGCTCAGGCAGTCTCTTGAGAATCAGATATGACTGAAAGAAAGAGAAGAAATATACATAATACTATATAGTTATCCTGTTCATTGGGACTTGAAAGCTGTATTTATTTTTAAACAACTTTTCAAGTTGGTCTTAAATTGGAATTATTTTTCATTACATTATTTTATGTATTTTTACTGAAGTGGTCTTAGATTAAATGCAAATAAAAAGAGAGACAACCAACCACATAACAAACTGTCCACTGACATATTTACTAAAGCTAAATGCCAATGTGGCATATGCAAAAGACATTTTCTCTGATGTCTGCAACACCAGGGCTTCTCCTAGCTCCGTAATGGCGAACCTATGGTACGCATGCCGGAAGTGGCACGCAGAGCCATTACTGCTGGCACGAGAGCCCTCGCCCAGAGCAGGTCTACTGCACGTGTGCATGCCGCCCGCCCGACAGCTGATTGTTGACTATCTGGTGCGCATGCACGGGGGGCAGGGTGATGCATGGAAGACGTGCAAGCATGCGCAGAAACACGTGATGCGCAGGGGGGATCGCGCAGAGATGTGCAGCGTGCACAGGGGTCGCATGTGCATGCACAAGGGACGTGGGGGGTGCACACATTGCCTTCTGGGTGCTGACATGCAAGCGCACACAGGCGAGCACGAGCGCAATTTTCGCCATGGGAGCCCAAAAAGATTAGCCACCACTATCCTAGCTTGTTCAAGGTGAGATCTTTCCTCTAACCATCTTGAAATAAAATGCAGTGTTTTTTATGAGGGGCAGTGAGTAGAGACGGAATGGGACACATATTAATATCTTATTTTTCAGAAACCTAACTAGAAGAACAAAGCAACCTCTCTTATTTTTCCAACAAACGTGAAACAGGGGGTCCAGCTTTACAATGAAGTTTTTTTTTACCCTGAGATATAAAGAAACAACCCATTCAGCCTTGGTTGAGAAAGTAAGAAGATACCCGGTCTAAGAAAGATAACCAACAAAGGGTCTTTCTGGTGCCTCCCACCCAGGAACAGACTACCGCCCACAATTTAAACTCAGTACTAAACCCAACCTAGTAGTAAATTGCTATCTTTCCACAAAGCAGTCAAAATGGAATTATTGGTATTGCAGGGTGATAAACACTGTAAAAAAATAATTTTATCCAGTTTGGAACAGACGTTTATGGTTACTGTAAATACCAGTAGTATTGCTTTATTTTAATAGTTTATTAAATACAGTATGCATTATTATAGTAAGCAATAATTTCTGTATTTATTAATTTAGTAGTTATTGTATAAACACATATACAATAAATAAAATAACAATAAATAGTATTACATAATTATACATTTAAACATATATACATACACACACACACATATAAAACACAATCTCTTAGACTAGAGAGAGGGCTGTAAAGCACTGTGGAGCGGTATTTAAGTCGAAGTGCTACGGCTATCGCTATGATGCGTTGGGGCCTTCTCACTGCTCTTCATCCCCCGCTCCTTCCGCGGCTTGCAAAGCGAGCACGCGCCTCCAGCGCCTCCTGCTGCTCGGGCGACCGAGTTGCAAGGCTGACGAGTTGATTGCCAGCCGCGCTGCCTCGATCCGCTAACTCCGCCACCTCTGCAAGGGAGCCTCGTCGCAGGTCGAGTGATGGATGGGTGAAAGGAAAGATGGCGGAGAAGACGCAGAAGAGGTAAGGGGGCTGGGCGGCCAAGGCTCTGGGCGCAATTAATCTCTGGATCCTTCCTCCGCCCTAAAACCCCCATTGGAGTGATTTTTCTTTAGACGCTCCTTGAGTCCGTTTTTTTCAAGGCTACGTTGTCTGTGAGGATACAAAAAAGGACGCCCGGTTCCTTGCAATGGATCGTTGTTGCTACTAAGCAGCTGCTACCAAGCTGCTGCCATAAGGGTAGCCTCTCAAAGGGAAAGCGGAGATCGGATCTGCCGGTCAATGTCCGTTTTCAACAAGCCCGCCAACAATTCAGCCCAATCGGAGAGAGCCGGTTCGAGGAACGAAAGCAGGCCGTTGCTACTCCCGATACCTTGCCTACACCAAAGGGTGAAATCCAGCTGTTCATTCCGTGGTTTTATTTTTCAGTTTCGGATGTCACTGTGTACAGGAGCATTGATGATTTCTGGAAGATTTCCACAGTTTGCGGAATATCTTGAATGAGGACTTGCATTGATTTAGTTTATTATTGTTGTTGTTATTGTTATTATTTACATTTCACTGAGGTCCTTCATATTAGAAGAAGCCAAACCACCTTATGGATATTCCTAAATCGTGGAAAATAATGAATGAGAATCCAAAATACTTGACTGTGAAAATGTGTTGTTGTTTTCCTACTACTTAATATTATTTCACATTTTTCCTAAGAATTTTAAGTGCACTGCATTCATCAGCTTAGAAATTCTTTAAAAAACTATTAGGCTTGAGTGTTAACATTACCGGTGGAGGTGAGCTAAAGCTTCCCATTGATTTTGCAATTGTTAACACTGATAGTGTGAGACTAGGAGCTGTTTTGTCCATAACAATGTATTTCCATGTCTTCTTAAATCTCTGGTCCAGTGTTTGGAAGTTTGGTTTAGAACTACAGTTAAGGCAGTATTATGGTTTCTCAAAAGTGACATAATGTTTTATTACTGACAAAACAGCTCTCTGCCCTCAAACCGTCTAATTAAACTTAAACTGTCATTGCAGGCAGTTATTGGTTAATAGCTGTGATATGAAATCTCAAGTTACAGAATTTCTCAATTTGGGGTCTTTTAAACTTTTACTGAACACTACTGTGACTCATGATTGAGTCTTCTAATCACTTTTGCTTTGTATACTTTCCCCCCGCCCTCCCAGGTACAGTCAGATAGGTAGAGAGCTTTTTAAAATGCATTTCCAAGGATCTGGGACTATTTGACAGTGATGAGCAAATGCATGAGAAAAATGCCAAATCACTGCTATTTGTATATGTCTTTTCTAGTGTGAAGATTGCGCCTGGAGCTGTTGTTTGTGTGGAAAGCGAAATTAAAGGAGATGTGACTATTGGTAAGAGAAAATAATTTTATAGAATGATACAGTTGGGTTAGCCCAACACACTTAATTTGATCATTGAATTAACTTAGGTATCACAATATCATTGAATTATTAACAAATCGTCTATATAGTGTGCTAAGCCACAAAAACTAACCAAAGTTAAAACTAGCAAAGCTTAGAAAGTTAGTACTCATTTTAGGTATGTAAATAGCTAATGGTGCTCTAATAGTTGATCAAGAATGCGGATGATCCCTTGTTATTGTAGTGAAAGATAATGCTTGTATCTGCACTTTCCCCCATCTTTGCTTAATGCTGCTGCCATAATCCTAGTTCTAAACCCTGTTTATCATTCATGTTGCCCTTTCAACAAATGGAGATAACTATATAAAGTAAAAAAAAGTATTTTTGGTTCAAATGTAGGACAACAAAAATGTTGATGAAGTAAGTTGCAACAAATGATTGTATAATAATGATTGTGATTCAATGTGTAAATATTACACCCATTTAAAACGGATGAAGAGGGCTGGCAGCAGTCCTGTGTTGATTGAAGCAAATTGGTATTTTCAGATAAATTTGTTCTCAGGATAATACATTCCCTTGAAATATTTTGATGATATATAAGCATTATAGCAATAAGTTTTTTTTATAGGACCTAGGACAGTGGTTCACCCCAAAGCTCGAATCATTGCAGAAGCTGGACCAATCGTGATTGGGGAAGGTAATCTCATAGAAGAACAGGCAATTATAATTAATGGGTTAGTATAATTTAATCAATTTAAGATATTTATTCATTCATTCCACTTGCATGGCCACTCAACCTATAGCAATTCTGGGCAGTATACAAACAAAAACAATCATTAAAAAATTAAAAGTAGAACAAATTGGCAATAGAGATACGAATCAGTCTAACACCACATTTCCTAGGACTCACTCAATACTCTGGCCAAATGCTTGAGCATTGCCAAGTCTTAAGAATCTTATGAAACTTCCGTTGGGTCAGGGCTATCTGGCTGTTGAGAAGTACTCTGTTCCACAGGGTTGGCACTGCGACATAGAAAGCATACTGCCTTAGTCACAACAGATAGCATTGCTTGATAGAAGGGATCAGGAACATGCCATCTCTGTTGGAACCAATAACCTGTTCCTGTGGCATCATACATTGCTTGTATTCACTCAGGTAGAAATTAGCAACATGCAGCCATTGAAATAATTTCATACTACCTCCAGTGTAAATTTTTTATTTCTATTTTGTTCAATAGATGGTCAGATCTGTGATCTTAACAGGGAAATATTAATTGTAATAAATACCAATTCAGTGAAATTGTAAATGCTAAGTATAATAAATGTAAAGAATTCAGTGAATTTGTAATGCAGAAATTGATTGCTGAAAATTTAATATGCTTTTTCTATTCATTTGATGACCAGCCATTTTTAATAATGTCATCATGTGTTGCATGCAAAAGGAAAAACATATTTGAAAGATTTGAAGCTTTCTTGATTAGTATAGTGAATATTAATGCGTTGATGTACTTGTAGTTTAGTTTAGTTTATTGTCATTGCACCTCCTACAATGAAATTAAATGCCATCTTCAGTGTACATTATAACTATAAAAATAAAACAAATAGATCCTTCACATTCTACACAATTGAATTGAAAACCCCTGATATTGCAATAATATTGCACTATACAGTAGAATTCAGTATAGTTACTGCTCTGGGATAGAAGCTGTTTTTCAGTCTATTTGTCCTTGTTTTTTATTATCCTTACAGTCTGCCAGATGGTAATAGTTCAAAAAAAGGATGCCCAGGATGAGATGGATCTTTAAGAATGTTTTGAATTTTCTTAAGGCAGCAGGAGCTATAAAGCTCTTCCAAAGAGGGAAGAGGGCAACCAATGATCCTCTGGACAATTATGTTAACCCTCGAGCACTGTCCTATCTGCAACTGTGCAATTGGCAAACCCTACACAGGTGCAGTAAGTTAAAATACTCTTATGGTGCAGTGGTAGAAGGTCACCAGCAGGTTTTCATTTAGTTGTTGTTTTCTGAGAAGTCTCAGGTAGTATAATCTCTGCTGGGCCCTTTTGACCAGTGCTACTTAGCCAGGTCCCGCTGCCAAAGCAGAATCAAGGCCATTATAGAAGACCCCTCACACCCTGGCAATTATCTTTTTGACCTGCTGCCGTCTGGATGGCGTTTTAGGTCAATAAAATCCTACACCACTAGACTAACAAATTGTTTCTTTCCTTGGGCCATCCGAACCGCAAATAAACACAAAGTCACTACCTCATTAAGATGTGAAAAGATGTGAAATCTCAATACCCCATTCAGATGTATAATAGCATATTACAGTACATTCCATCTCTTGTGTATTATACTTGGCTAAGGGTTACAGTCAGTGTTGGATGTATATTTTGTGTATATTCATAGATATTGTACTCTCAAATTGCAAATGGTGATGTGGGTACTCTTATCTTTCTTATCTTCATTTTTAAGTGCTTTGGTTTTATTGTATTGCGAACAGTTGCTGGGGTGCATCCACAGTTTCGTTGTACTTGTACAATGACAATAAAGTTCTTCTAATTCTAATTCTAATACAGTGTGAGCGCCCCAGGCCATATCCTCTTTTATGGTGACACCCAGAAACTTAAAACTGGCCACTTGCTCCACTCGGTTTCCATTGATAAGCAAGGGCTGGATGTCTGATCTGTTCCTTCTATAGTCCACTACAAGCTCCTTGATCTTATTGGTATTAAGGACCAAGTTATTATCTCCACACGATGAAAGCAACCGGTCCACCTCATCTCAATAGGTAGACTCATCCCCCCCGGAGATTTGTCCCACCACTGTTATATCATCTGCAAATTTAATAATAGTATTACTGGTATGAGTGAGAATGTAGCCATGCACATAAAGAGTATAGAGTAATGGACTCAAGGTGCAACCCTGTGGTGTACCAGTGTTAAGAATATTCCTGTGCTCTGCTGTCATCAATTTATATTAAATATGTAAACATTATTCATTCTAGAGAAGCATTTTGAATCAGTCTGTTGAATGGGGATTCATAAAATTGAGGTTTTGTTGTATTTCAGATTTAAATTTTTTCTGTAAACCTATTCTTAGTTCAGTTTTCCATAGCATATCTTTGAATCTTTATATTATTATGTTTATTTTGTCAAAACATTCTTACAAAATGATCTCTGTATTATGGAAGAAACTTGATTGACAGTTGGTGAGTCTGTTTGATATAGAATAACAGCTTAATGAAAAGGTTCAAGTTAGTATTAAATTTTAAAGATAAAATTCTTGGTTTTAAGAGCATGACATGCCTGTTTTCCATCTCTACAGCTATCCTGAAAATATGATTCCTAATACAGAGGAAGTAGGAACCAAACCGATGGTCATTGGCACTAATAATGTGTTTGAAGTTGGCTGTTGTATCCTTTTGAAGAATAAATTAAAAGATTAGAAAGATATATGTTTGCATCAGACATTAAGTATCCGTGATGTAATCTTAGATCCCTAATTTGTGGCTAAAGGGATTGGTTGGGATGTATGTTGTTTGCTATTAAGGACTTATTAATTGTATTTAGTGGCTTCAGTAAAACAGATAAAATATAATTTGTTTAATTGCAATTATTTTCCACACTTTGTTAATTTAGTAGAGAAAAAAAATCTCATTGATTCATTGCTGCTGCATAAAATTCAGTTTGTAACAACTGTAATGTCATAGAATAGGATGCCTTTTAAGTATTGTATTTTTCGCTCTATAAGATGCACTTCCCCCCCACAAAAAAAGTGGATGGAAATATCTGTGTGTCTTATAAAGCAAATATTGCGGTGGGGGAGGGGGGAGTTCTCTGCCGCGGCCTTTCACTGCTGCCACTGTTCACCACCACCAGGGAATGCTGGAGCCTTCGCTACCAAGCAGTTGATTGGCAGTTGGATCTGCCTCCTTGAATACCGCCAATCAGCTGTTCTAGGTGGCAGGGATCATCGCCGCTGCCACCAATCACAGCCGCCTAGAACAGCTGATCAGCGATATTCCGGGAGGCCGATGCAACCGCCAATCAGCTGCTCGGCAGCGACAGCTCCAGTGTTCCCCAGCAGCGGCAGCAGTTCAGCTCCGTTGACCGGTGGTGGGTGCAACAGAGCGGAGCCCTGACGAGCCACGTGCTGGGGCTGCGATAACGTGCTGAAGCTGTTTTCTGTTTGCTGCAAGGACGCTAGCCAGGTGAATACCGAGTGGATGTTGGGAGGCAGAGGCAGATTTTTTTTTTCTTGTTTTGCTTCCCAAAAGCTAGGTGCGCCTTATGTGCTGGAGCATCTTATAGTGCAAAAAATACAGCATATTGTCTAAGATCCATGGTAGCTTTTGGTCAAATGAAAAAAATAGGGGATGTTATTTCAGCTTTTTTTAAATAACATGGTGTTTATTAGAATATTTTGCTAAAGAGAGACTTTTCACTAGTTTACTGTAATTTCTTTTTAACTTTATTGCATGGGATCTAATTCACTTGTCTGAAATGATAAGAATCTCCTGCTTGTGCAGGGGGTTGCAGTAGAAGACCTCTAAGGTCCCTTCCAACTCTGTTATTCTGTTATTCTTCTGTATCCAAAGCTATAAAGTTAGGATAATGGTCTCCCAGGATCTTTCCTGAAGGCGGTGGAGCTGTAAAACAGTGATCCCCAACCTTTTTTATGGCGCGGCCCGGTACCGGCATCATCTGGGCGCCGCCATCTTGTTTTGATGAAAAAGTGCTTCCGGTGAGCTTTCTACCCGGAAAAGCTCACCAGAAGCACTTTTTCATCAAAACAAGATGGCGGCGCCCAGCAAACCAGCGGCCCGGTAGGACTTGTTCCACGGACCGGTACCGGTCCGCGGACTGGTGGTTGGGGACCCCTGCTGTAAAAGATCTCTTGCTATATCAGGGAGAACTGAGGATATGGGAAACTTGCAGACAAATATTCTTAACTATGGCTTACAGATTCTCAAGCCATGAAAATAGGAGATAACAATGTAATTGAGTCAAAAGGTAAGTATGTGGTGATTATTTTGTACAACTTAAAAATAAGTGGGAAAACACCAATCCTTTCTTCAGTTATATGAAATTTAAACATAATTACAAAGGAGTATAAATTATATTATTATGATATAGCACTATCAGTAAAAACCTAGAAAATATTCTTGCCTCAGCGGTTGAATACAGCCAATCTTCAAAGCCTTTCAAAAAAAAATACGGCACTCGTTTCATTTGCAGGCCTGTAAGAATAGCCCCCACCATGCACCTCATTTTGAGGGTGGGCAATAGTTAATTATGGAGTAGTGCAGCAGAAGAAAGATATAGAAAAATTACTTCTTTGCACTGGCAATATATTGGGAGATCCAAACTGGGTATACTGTAAAATGATTCCGGGCAGTCCATTTAACAAAGGCTACTGCAAATGGTACCATCTTGGCACCTTTCCCAGAACAAAGGTCATTATTAATTTATTTAATTTGCTGCCCATTTATCTCACTACTGAAATGAAGGTATGTATGCTTCCTGGAGACCACTTTAATCATCTAATCAGTAGTCTGCCAGGAAATACATATGATTACATAGGGAAAGGATGATCAACCGCTGCAAAATTGTTCTCTTGCAGACTGGCAATGAGATGATGGATAAATTTTCTAAAGAGCCCACAGCTTCCACGGCAGATCCAGCCCTAACCAAAACAATTCTTACACTGACAGGCCTGTTCCCTTCAAGGTGGGGCGGGGGGAGCACCAATGCAGAGGGTGAGCCACACGGTTTCTGGACAAATAGCATCTCCATCTCGTTAGGAGGGTTTTATCTTACGTGGACCTACAGCCTCTAGCGGAGGGTCACCACATTTCCGGTCAGTCTCCAGATGGAGATACATAATTAAGTATTTTCTGTATATATTATGCTGCCTGCTATCATGATGTGGAAACATTATTCTTCGCAACTAAACAACACATCAGCTAACTGCCTGAATTCTAGGAGAGGAAGAGGGCTCCTTGTGCCATTCTTTCTTAGCACAGTGGCCAATCAATATGAAATGATAAGGGCCTAGCACTTAGACTTATATACTGCTTCACAATGCTTTACAACTCTCTGAGCAGTTTTACAGAGTCAGCCTATTGCCCCCAACAATCTGGGTCCTCATTTTACCAACCTCGGAAGGATGGAAGGCTGAGTCAACCTTGAGCCTGGTGAGATTCATACTGCCAAATTGCAGGCAGCCAGCAATCAGCAGAAGTAGCCTGCAGTACTGCATTCTAAACCACTGCGCCACCACAGTGCCTTTACTTAGCACTTAGATTTATATGCCTTTAGATTTATATAGTGCTTTACAGCCCTCTCTCTGGGGTTTGCAGAGTCAGCATATTGCCCCCAACATTTTGGGTCCTTTACCCCACCATTTAGAAAAGCATTGCCTAAACACAGAGAAGACTGTAGACATAAAAGGATGTTTCTTTCACTCATACGCACGCCTCTTTGCTCTGGCTCTTGCATTTCTCTGTCAAGATCACTTTTCTTACTCTCTACATCTACAGCATTTGTTGGTAAAAATGTGATCCTAACCAGTGGCTGCATTATCGGTGCCTGCTGCAATGTCAACACGTACGAAGTCATCCCTGAGAACACTGTCATCTACGGAGCAGACTGTCTTCGTCGAGTGCAAATTGAACGGCCACAGGTGAGTAGGCGACAAGCGTGCAAGGCAGCTTGAAATCTTCAGTCATCAGATTGCCTGGTTTGTGGGGTGCGAGTTTTCCAATCCAGTCAGTGAGCAGAGCCCTGAAAAATGTGCACTTTGTGATTTGTATGCCATTAATATTCTGTTGATAAAGTTTTCCTACTTTGGTATCAGATTTAACCAAATTTGTGGGGGGGAGGAGAGTCAAAATCTTTGCAATATAAGTAGCATTGGATAGAGAAGATTGTGTCCAGATAGTTTGGTCTGAGGGTCCAGTTGAGATAGGACAGAGGCGCATTTCTCTTTCTTGCCTTTTCCTTTACAGATCATTGTGTCTTTTGTGGATGATCAATCTCTATTTCTCCAAGGATAAGGGACACACTGTTTGATAAAAGAGTTTTGTGACTTTTGTTAATGACCTATGATTTCAGATAAATGGGCAAACTGAGGTTAAGTCAGCTTATGCTGTTGGGTTTATTTTTAGAGTGCTACTATTATGACAATAGTTTGTAAATTCACATGTAATATAAAAACAGAAACCTGCTTTAAAATAATGATTCTGGTTTCCTAGCTGGTTGAAGGAGCCAGAGTAGCCAAGGATCAGATGATGAATGACAACTGACACTCATGTCCATATTCAGACCTAGCTAACTAGCTTTTCAGTCCGGTCTTCCTCAGCGTGAAACAATGGAGAAGGGCTTCAACATTTCCTCAATTACTGCACAAGGTGTGGAGAACTGAAGTAATTTTGGGAATATTGCTGAAGCTTTCATTGCTTCATGCAAAAAGAGTGGTTTAAAATGTGTTTGCCTTCTATTTGTGAGGAAGACATTTGTGATGTGTCATTTGAGAGAAGGGGAAATTGGGAAACAAATTTTCTTAATAGGAATTATCTTAAAACAAGTCAGTCCTTTGATCCATCTAACCTAATGATATCAACACTGATTGGTGACAGTAGTCATACATTTCAGGCAGGAGTTTTCCAGTTAGAAAAACTGAATCTTCGGTGTGACATTGTCCATGAAAGAGGCTATCACATCTTTTACTGCTGAGTTAAAGCCTTCCCTTCAAGTCATCAGAGAGCTAGATAGGTTGCATTTCTGTACCAAAGTAAACAATTGAGTCTTCCTCAAATCTTCCGGATCACAATTTCTATAGTCTGTGAGCATTAGCCATGCTGATGGGGATATATGGAAGTTGTGGTCCAGTTGCTTCTTTTAAGCAGATGTGTTTAGATTTATGTATATTTTCCTAACATTGTGCTTTTCATTTTAGCCACAAACATTACAGCTGGACTTTCTCATGAAAATCCTCCCAAACTATCATCATCTCAAAAAGATGATGAAAGCAACATCAACACCTGTGAAGAGCTGAAAGCTTTCCTGGATCATGGTCAAAATTATATCGGAGATGTACTACTTGCTTTCTGGACTTTGTGTTTGCAAGAGCTTTTTTTTTTTTTTTGCTTAGTCTGGAAATCTTGTCATGCAGCTTAATTTTATTTATTAAAATATAAAAAATAAAAAATGCGCCATTGTCACATTCCCCTTGATAGTGTATATTTTTAGTGGACTTCATTATCTCTATTGCTTCTTGTTTTTTTCTTTGTTAATGAAGTCAGGGAACTGTCAAACTCATCTTTCATACTGATGCTATCTTGGATGTCACCTCATTTTCCCAGTAAACCTGACTTCGAGTTCTGTTGATTGGAGACAGTGGGAATGGTCCAGTTCATTTGGAAGGCAGCAACCGCAGTACTGCACAAAAAGAAGAGTTTAAAAAAAAGACTTGTTAATTTCAATAGATACATTTTAGATTATTGCATATCCTTAGTGCTTTCCTTTAATAATTGAAACTGCACATGTAACTTCAGACAAGGTCAAACAAATATGTAGCTCAGTAACTCATCTGGAGTTGATATCCTGAAGGCTTCATGTTGTGGCCTCAATCCAGACTTGTTTTTATACATGCTGCATGTAACAGTGAAAAAAGATTCTGCTGTCAGAAATACAACATGTGGTGTTCTCCTGTGCATAACATTGCAGACAGACCTACATTCCCTTGAGAATAAGCCTCACCAAACATATTTGGGACTTCTCTTTTGTATAACCTCCAGAGGTAAAACTTTGTTAATCATTTTAAACAATATCATAGTCTTCATAAGCTTCTTGTTACGATTACTGTCCCTGCGACTGCTCATATAACGTATTAAACCATGAAATAATACAGAAAAAAATTAGGCATTTATAACCAAGATAAAAACTTTGTTAGCATTTCCTCTAAACATACTGTGTGTGCAAACAAAGCTGTCAGTTCCCCTTTTGACATGTAAATGTATGGAGCTACTGGAACTAGATTTTTCCTACAGTTTATTCAGTAGTGTAAGAAAGCCCAGGCGATTAGCACTTCTCAAAGATGTTGAATGCCTTGTTTTTACACTTCCCAATCCTTTTCCCAGAAGCTTTTATAAACAGAGTTGTAAACAGTGTTTACATTTTTCAGTGCTATTTCTGAAGCTAAAAGTCCCCTTCTGTGATTCATTTTCTTTTGGGAATAACTTGGAAGCATTTCTTAAAACCAATGTTTTCAACATGCAAAATGCATCTGAAGACTTCTAGTCAAATCACACCTGGATAATGGTCAATTAAAAAGCATAAAAGGTATATGAGTCTAAAATTTTCTAAAAGCTAAAAAAGTATTAAAAGTATATAAAAACTAGTCTAAAAAATAAAAGGTTTAAGAACATTAGATGGATGTAGTGGGAGCATAAAGATTAGTATATGGCACCTTACAAAGTACTAGTATCGGGTGGGTTCTACCGGTTCTGTCCACCTCTGTAGAGCAGCAGACATAGAACCGGTTCTGTGTCTGTTGATGTTTTTGCCCACCCACCCACCTGGGCTCTTACCTGATCTTTATTTCCTGATTTTTCAACTTCAGCTGCCCAACGAGCCACAGCTGCAGTTAAAAAAACAAGAAAAGAGGGCTGTTTCAAAGGCTGCTTCTGATTTACAGGCTTGCGGGCAGGGAAGCTAGTAAATCCCGAACCGGTTGTTAACCGTTTCTTATCCCACCTCTGACTAGTATGATGAACTAGGTGCTCATCTAGTCTTAATTTATGGCACCAGTCATCATCTGATATATTTTAAATGCTGCACAGAACCTGACAACTATATGTTGGGGTAGGATTGGTATCTGAAAGCAGCAGAGAGGTAATAGATTTGTCCTCTACGCTTTTGGTATTTGTGTAGTAATGGTGAAATGAGGCTAGTACAGTCTCTGTAATACAGACACTGGAGAAGCACATGCTTTGTTGCTTCTGACTTCTGTCCAGAGTCACAGGGGCATTGTCTCGCTTCCTGTCTGAGTTTTCAAGGACAGCTGAGGGAAGGGTATGACATAAGGCCAGAGTAAAGGCCCTCTGGTGTTAGTTAAGTATATCACAGAGGAGGCTTCAGTGGCAATAAAGATGGAGGACCTGACTAGATCCAATTGACTCTGGGTACTTGTAATATGCTATGTGCTCACACAAGGTGAGAGGCTGAGTCTATAGGAATTGCAAGGTTAAGTTCCAGAGTCCATGGTTCTTTTCCTATGAACACTTCTTCACATAACCCTCATCTGCATAATGTTCTTTCTCACTGGCTTATAGCAGATCTTGGTAGGGCACTGCAGTTACAAGATTCAGTGTAGTTTCCTCGTATAATCCTCAACTGAACGAGAATATACACAAAAAATACAGGGAAAAAGCAGAATGAACATATTCAGATACCAAAAGACTTAAAAGCTGATATTAACATCGGCGACAGAGATGAGCTTGTTACTTTTTTAAAAAAAGAAATGGCATTTCAGAAACTAAATAGTTACAACATGATGATCTCACAAAGTTTTTTTAAATTATTTTTTTCAACATTGTAGATTTTTGTTAAGCATTGCTAATAAACAGAAGGGGTTATGTTACTTTGTTTTGTGGACAAATGGAGATAATAATGGGAGATTGAGAAAAGGATATTTGGATAAAAACCCCGAATTTAACAGTTTATCTCAGAAAAGTACCTGATAGTTGGTAGTATCATCAAATACCTACATATTCCAAACAGGAAATACCCTTCTGATAGTCCCACACCATGAAAGTCTTAGATGCTTGTCTATGTCACTACTGTTTTAGGGACTAATTGAAAGCTGCACTTGGGACCGCCAGTCTCGTGTAATCTGGCTGGGATAAGCTCTGAAATTTTATAATGGAATTTCCTTGATCAGTAATGGGGGGTTGCCCACCGAACACTCTTTCAAGTGACAATGGAGGAGTCTCTTGATCACACCTTTGCTACCTAAAGTCTACTCCCAACCATCGGAGCAAGCCATGAACAGCCAGAGGCATGTTTAAGACATCATATCTTGCCACTGGCCTACTGGCACTAGCATCCAATGGGGACCTCAGATCCTCCTACCTTATGCTTGTTCTGTTTACAGGCTACTCAAAGCCTTAGCATCTAGGAGCACAATCAGAAGCCAATCAATCACCGAGACCTGGAAAGCCGAGCAGAGTGCAAAGTCAGATTTAACAGATAATCAAGAGTTGGAAGGGACCTTGTAGGTCATCTAGTCCAACCTCCCACCCAAGCAGGAGACCCTACACCATTTCTGACAAATGGCAGTCCAATCTCTTCTTGAAAGTCTCAACTGATGGCGCTCCCACAACTTCCGAGGGCAAGCTGTCCCATTGGTTGATTGTTCTCACTGTCAGAAAGTTTCTCCTTGTTTCCAGGTTAAATCTCTCCTTGTTCAGTTTCCATCCGTTATTCCTTGTCTGGCCTACAGGCGCTTTAGAAAATAGCTTGACCCCTTCCTCCCTGTGGCAGCCCCTCAAATATTGGAAGACCGCTATCATATCTCCCCTGGTCCTTCTCTTTACTAGACTAGCCAAGCCCAGTTCCTGCAACCGTTTGTTGTATGTTTTAGCCTCCAGTCCAGCATTAGCCATGTGAATCCACTAACTCCCTCCATCATTAGCCAACCACTTGGTTCAAAGGAGAAGGATAGCTGCTTGAGAAAGCCAAGGGGAGTCACACAACTGGACTGATATAAGGAGATGCTTCACACCCAATCAAAGAAAAGCAGAAGCAAACAATCCAACTCTTAAAAAAAATAGCACTAAACTTTATATGTGTCAAAAGTCTATCTGGTATTTGTACAAATGTGAAGTGGTAAAAAAAAAAGGGGCCAAACTTTGCTCAGGCAAAATCTTTAGGCATATACAGCAGCTTGTTCTGTATTAGTTACAGATATGTGAAACCCCAGATTATTTTCAAATCTCTGATACTTATGGCAATTTCCACGCCCCAAACTGAATCTTTTGATTCTCATTTAATGTAACTTATGCAGATACTATTCAATAGTTGTGTGTCTTCTTAAAATTGATTGCCATCTCATGTTACTACATACTTGATCTTTTCTTTGAATAGCATTTGTTGGGTTCCAATTAAGGTAGTAAATTGCTTTGTTTCCTTAATTCACAAATACATAAAATGGACAGTGTGCTAGAGAGGAAGAGAAGATGGAAGGCAGTGGCAAACTTGGAGACATTCATAAAGAATAACGGTACTTTTGTGTCAACAAAAATCTTTTTTGTGCTATGCTAACATCCAGATTGAAAGGTGGACCCTGAAAAAGAGTGAGAGAAAAAGATAACTGCTTTCAATATATGGATCTGGAAATAGTTTTTAAGAGTGGCATGGATAAATCAATCAGTCCTGGGCTAAGAAAATACTACAGAGAATAGGGAAGATGACCTTGATGGAGATATGTAAGAACTGTTACTCAGACCAAAAAAGGTTGAAGCAACTTTTAAGTGCAGAGCTGTGAGATGACATCTGGAAATGCCTCAGGCAGGCACCTCTCTAATTCACTCACTTATAAGAAGAGGAATAGATACAGCACAATCAGACATTCAAGAGGCTGTTATTTTAGTCAATCAGAATAAAAGTAATTTTAGCCTCCCTGTGAAACTAATTTCATGGTGTTATATACTTAGTGAGGGTTGAAGCAACAGCAACAAGCAGAAATTCACATACTTTTGGCTTGTGATGGCCTATTAGTTGTTGGACTCAGCGGTGGGCTGCTGGGGGTTTGCAGGGGTTCGGGAGAGCCCCTAGCTAAGATCCTGTGCAATTCGGAAAACCCCCAAACCCCACTCCTGGCTGGCCCCACACACCCACCCTGCCCTGCCCCTCCCAGAAGTCCCCACGGAGCCCATTTTGGATGCAGGTAAGTGCAGGGCATGCACGGAGGTTCGGGGAGGGTGAAAAACGGGCCTCCCAGAAGTTCGGGAAGGCCGCAAATGGGTCAGTTTTCACCCTCTCGGAGAGGCTCAAGGAAAACCTTTGGAGCCCCCCTCCACCATGGTGCAGGAGGCTGACTAGGACACACCCACCATGGCCACTCAGCAACTGGGCAGAGAACCCTTTGCTAAAAATTTTGAAGCCCACCCCTGGTTGGACTAGAAAAATAGCTATGATTGGCAAGACTGAGGGATGTGGAAAAAGGGAGACCACCGAGAAGGTGGATGAATTTGATAAAAAAAGGTTTTTCCTTGGAGACAGGTCAGAGTAGTGGCTGTTAGGGATACACCCTAGCAGAATTTGCACGGCAGTCAGGCAGGCAGGCAAATATGTGAGATAAACGTTTTTGTAGCTTACACTCAGTAAAACAGATACACTGTGCTAGTTAAATAGTTTATTCCAGTAAGAGTTTTATCATAGTCAAACAGTCCATATATCATTCACTAGTTCAGTCCGTTCGGGGATTATTAAGTTGCAAAGTCCAGTGTCGAAAAAGAGGTTAGTAAACTTACAAATATCAGTCCAGTAATATATATCCTCGCAGTAGAAATATAAAGAAGTCAAACCTCCTTTCTTCCTTCGACGTTCAAAAACTCAGCAGCAGGGAACACGCAGTTAGCAAACCATCAATCCAGCATAGTTAGCAATCCAGCAGGTTCTCTTGCTCCCTCTTATGGCGGTTTTACAACTGCACCCAAAATTACATGCTTTGCAGTTTAAAGTGACACACACTTAAACTTACTATCATAGTTTATATATATTATTTTACCCAAACTACGTTAGGTAACCTTGTTATTCCTAACAGTGGCTACAGTATTTCTCTAAACAGTAAACAGCTGTTAGAACTCAATGGCATATAAGTAAATTAATATTATAGGCAGCTCTTGGGCTAAGAACAAATTCCATTCCTAGCTTTGTCTTTAACTCAAATTTCTACTTAAGTCATAACTTGTCCTTCAAACAGACCACCACTTACTAAAAATGGTGGATGGATGGTTGTTTCTTCCTCTAGCTGATGAACCACTCAAGCCACATTATGCTTTTGGGAACTGCTGAAAATTGAGCTATATATTAAAAATATGTGGCTTCAGAACTTCAACAGCTCAGAGAAGGAGAACACTGTTCACCATTTTTAGTAAGAGACAGCCTGTTCATATCTAGGGTTTGTTCTTAAATTGGACATTCTTAACCCAGGGATTGGTAGTACATTCAGGAGAATGGCGAACACGCTTTCTTTGAATAAGAGAATTGGCTGTCCTACCATTCGTTTTTATTGCTCCGCTTCATAGGAGAGCTGTGCATGTTCTATAACAATATTTCTTAAAATATATTCTGTGAAACATCATTCCCCAAACAACTTGAATACGTTCCACAACCACCAGGTGGGGTTTGGGGTAAAAAAATTTTTTTTTAACATAATGCATAATCAAACTTTGGAATTTGCTACCATAAGATGTAGTGCTGGGTTGGACCAATTCATCGAAGTCATGGGGATCAGTAGCTATTATTAGAATGTGATTAAAACATGTTTTATTTCAATATTCCTTTTTTAAAAGGAAATGTACTGCACGTGAGTGTGTGCGCGTGTTTGTGTGTTTGTACTCCATGTATTTTTTTAAAGTCTCAGCTCATGATCTTGTCCAAGCATGAAAATGTAAGCACATCAGCATGAGTGTAAAAGGCTGAGTTGTAAATAATTCTTTAGGAACTGTAGAAAGGAAAAGGGAGCCTTGCCCTTTAAGGAAAAGGCAAAGCTCTTTCCTTTGTGAATTCAAATTTCCCAGCTGGGAGATTTACTGCAAAATGATTGGTCAGCTGCATTGGCAGTCAGAATCAGTTTATTAATAGGAAGGCAGGTAAGAAGAAATCCTACAGCATTCCTGAGACTAATTTAATCTTGTGAGTAGAAAAACCCCTTTCTTATACCCTCCAGGTCCTTTGATTTGGATGTGACGTCTTCGATTTGTGTGTGTGTGATGAGTTCCTGTCTCTTTGAGATTGGGATCTTTTCTTGGGATCTTGGTAGGAGTAATTGTTTTATAGTAGCTGCTTGTTCACTTTGTAGCTGCTTGTTGCATTAGGTTGTAATATCCTGAGTTTATGCCTTTTGGTTTGCTATCATGGTTTTAAATCTTTTTCTTCCTGCCATGTTTTTTATGACTGCATTTTGATGAGTATTTCCTTTTCTCATGTGTCTTGATCCTTTTTCCTTTTCGAGTTTGCTTTTTACAAGTTTTTTTTATAGCTTGCCATCTATTTGATTTCTATGGGAAAGGGTCTTAACTAATTTGTAGGCTTTTTCTGTATCCCATGCAAAGGTGGGAGCTAATGGAGCTGACCCTGCTCACCTCTCCTTTCTTTTAGGGGAATTTTCCTTCCCCTTCTAATGTTTTAAGATTTCTTTTCTTTTCCTAGAAGAGGGGGGAATTGTAACTTCCAACAGAACTTTCTGTCTACTTTGGTCCACGTATTTAAATAGGATTTAGAACAATTGTTTCACTTAACCAGAAACAAAGAACAAATAGCATGCTGACCAAGTGATCTGTTGACCCCAAAGAGAACAAAAAGGGGTTAGCATCACAGAGACAATTATCCAAATGTAGCATTTTCATGATCTCCCCTCATCTCCAGTAAGAACTTAAACCACTATAAAAATAAATTTGAACATTGCTACTGTAATATTATTGCTCATTATTACTAAAGGGCCTAGCATTACTAGTATGGGGGGAAACCCTTCTTTGTTTGCATTGAGTAGCAAACAAAGAAAGCCATTTTTTCACGCCTTACTTGTGAAATTTCAGTGCCACATGTCTTGCCACTGCTGAAATGAGAAGGATAGACTAGGTAGATCTCAGTAGTCTAGTTTTGGCAAGTAACTACCGTGTTTCTCATATAATAAGGCCGGGTCTTATTTTTTTTTTGAGCCCCGAAAAAATGGCTAGGCCGTCTTTTCGGGGGTGACTTAATTTCCCCCCCCCTTGCATCTTCGGGTGGGCGGGCAGCGATGGCTTGGATGTTGACCTCGGCGTTGGTAGGCCACTTCGTATCGGGGTCAACGCAGGCAGCACCATATCCAGGTGTGCAACAAAAGTGCTTCCTAATGGCAAGCCCCCCGACCATTCCCCCCCATTTCGCATGTTTTAATATAGGCCTTAATTTGGGGGGAGGGGCTTAATTTCATTTCATGCCTATAAAACATGCTGGGACTTCCTATTGGGGGAGGCCATATTGTTGGAGAAACAGGGTACATAATGTTTTGATTGGCCCTTTAGATATTCCTGGTCTTTTGCATCTGGTGCCTTAGAGACACGATGACAGTTCCTGGAAATTTCAACCTATTCAGCAAAGTTCATACTCCTACTGGCCAGTTCTTGCAGTTTAGTCCATAAGACCAGTGATGTGGGCTTTTTAAATCCCACTTGCTCCCACTCTGAGGGTGATCAAACTGGCTCTCATAGCCCTTTGTGTTGCAAGAGACATCTGATGGAGCAAGAGTCCCAAAACCTCATGAGAGCCCAGAGCAAATTGCCTGGTTCTTTGGTTTGGATCCTGGCCATTTTCTCTGAGGACATAATCACGTATGTACTCTCAAACATGCAATAGCCACCCACTATCTCCTGGAAGTCACCTTATCTTTCTAATAATACACACATCTGCTAATCATAATTATTTCTAAGGAACGTGTGCAAGCTTGCAACAAGGCTTCCAAGATATCAAATGAATGCAGAGTAACATCTCCCTCCCCACATTCCAATGGTAAAAAGTCATTAGAGGAAAGGCTAATGAGTCAAAATTGCTCTGATAAGAGAGCTGGTATAGCTAGACCTCTGGGAGGCCCAAGGGCTTAAAACAGACTGGGTAAATATTTTAAACAATGCTGAGGAAAGCACAGGAAATTAAATGGCAAGGGAGTCACCTAGGCTGCAAAAACCATAAAAATTGCCTGAAGGAACTAAACTGCCCCAACCCTGTTCTGCTCTGATCCTAGAAAGTTATAGTGCAGCTTCATCAAGCATAGCACATTTTCTCTAGCCATGTGATCCTGCCAGAGTATCAAGAGAAGGGCCCCTGCCTGGGCATTGTGGTACATTTCTGAATACATACATCTGTCAAATGCTTTTAATGGTCACATAATTCTCATGCTCAATTAGGTAACATGTTCTTTTCAGACTGGAATCAACATGCTAGTTTTCAATTGGTGTGAGAGGGAAAATACGGACACGGGTATTTAGGGAGCAGACACACCTAAAGATGCATAGCCAGAATGACACAATTTCACTTTCTCATTGGCTTTGTGCCTGCACCCTGACCCCTGACTATGTAATCAACAAGTGGATATTGCCGACAGTGTTCCGAACTAGCAGGCTCGTAAGCCTGCAAACCTGACTGGCCGTTCCACAAGCAGGCTCGTAATCCTGCACATTTGATTGGTCCGTTAACAGCGGGTCGTGATTGGTCATTCTGGACTGATCTGATTGGCTAGTTAACAGGCTGCCGCGATTGGACACTCCAAGCGCGGCAAACTTAAACCATTGGACGCTTTGACAGCAGCCAGCTCTATAAAAAGGAGCTGCTGCTGCTATCCTTTTAGCTGTTTCCTGAAGTCACAAATAAAGAGTTGGAGTCACTATTCGATGTCTCGCCTCCGTTATTGCGCCCACTCTCCGAGATAGAACAGACAGGATGGGGGGTGAAAAGTTAATCTCTATTCAAGCTGCTTTTTAAGACAAAGAATGGAAGAAAAAGGAGCATCAATCACCTTGGGATTGACCTTTGACAATTAACAACTGTATAACAGAATGAGCAAATACATTGCTAGGATGGTCACGGTCTTTTCACTCTGCTGAGATTTATTGTGTTTCTTTTAAAGTGTGTAATTATTTCTAAAGTTATGGTATGTAGGTCACAACACATACACACACCCTCAGTATGTGAAGATTTTGCAAAGTTAGTGTTTTCTCTGATGCGCCTGTGGAATCCATATGTGAATGACTATTTCACCTTCATCCTCTAGGCATCTTTAGGTATTACTGGCAAAAGGGGTAATGGCAAGATAATCAGCCATTTTTTTCTCTCTGTTGCTTTGCTTTTGGTGGTGTCAAGACGTTTAAAACATGTATGTAGGTATATGTATTTTAACATATGGTACTGGATCAGTACAAGGTCTGTTTTGGATACCATCAGTTGGTACTAACAAATTGTATTTCTTCTACTGGTTGCCATCATTGCATTGAATAAATGAATAAATGATAGATTCATTTAGCAGTAGTTTATAAGATCCTATTTACTATCAAGGTAAAGTCTACCATCACATTTTCTTCCAAAGACTGTGTTTGGTAAAGCAATCTTGAATATAAAATTTGGCATGGGAGAGAGGGGTTTTAGTCTCTCCGCACCTCCTTTTTTCTGAACACACAGTCAAATATTATCAAGCAATTGGACTGTAATGTTTCTACCATGCCTCTAACCTAGCATTGCTCTGAGGAAGTCGCTAGCAGAGCTGATTAAGCTTGTAATAGCTTCTGATAGAGAAGAGGCCCCACCAGGAAACATTTTGGATAAATGGATAAATGGAAACAGTAGGACAGGGAGGGTAGGCACACTGGTGCACTTATGCACGCTCCCTTACAGACCTCTCAGGAATGGAGTGAGGTTCACAGTAGAAAGTTTAAGGTTAAAGTTTTTTGGGGGTTGAGGATTTTACTACCCTCCTCAAAACATAAGCTGGTTCTTCGGGATATCTACTCTACCTTAAGTTCAGACGTGTCTTAATGTGTAATTGACTAAGTGAGAAACCATGAAATTTCATATTGAGTTTCTCTTCCACATCCTGTCTGGTCCAATAGAATGTTGAAATGTTTTGCTTGTTTCTTTTTGACATACTTCAGGAATTTACCAGTGTGAATAACAACTGCCATGGGATCAGAGGAAAAAATATCATCTCTGTCACACACAACACTGTTGGGAAGATGGAACAAACATACCATCTTCCAACTTTTGAAAACATGTTCCGTGCACACAAACTCAAGGGCCGCCTAAATATTTTGGTTTCCTTTGGTGTTCCCCCAGGCCTCTAGTTATGTCCAGCTCTCTATTTGCTGATATTACTTGCTGTTCTTTCATTAGTAATCTTGACTTTTACCAGCCCACCTCGAGGTCTCTGGTGTGTTCCACATCACTTTGACAGCTTGTCTGACTGCCAAGAAGACTTTCAATCTCTGCACTGTATTACGTGTTTTGCTTTGCTTTTTAATCAAAATTGGCTTGGTTTGAGTCATCTAGACATGCTGTTTATGTGGCCAATTTCCTTTATAAAGCAAAACAATGGGTAGCAATTTTAATCCCCACTCAGGCAACACACAGCCTGACCTACAAGTGCAGCCATTCCCTCCTTTGCCTGAATGTAGTCACAGAGGAAGCTGAAGGAACTAAAAAGCAAGATGTTCAAAATTTCAAGATACTCAAAATGGAGTCACAAAGTGGAGGGCACCTGAGGGTAGGACAAGAAGTAATAGATGGAAGATTATCAAAGAGTGATCCAAACTAGAACTAAGGAAAAGTTTCCTATTAATGAGAAAAATTAATTAATTAGTGGAATGGCTTGTCTCCAGGAGTTGTAGATGCTCCGCCACTGGAGGTTTTTAAGAAGAGATTAGACAGCCATTTGTCAAAAATCGGTACAGGGTCTCTTGTTTGAGCAGGGTATTGGACTAGAAGACCTCCAAGTTCCCTTCCAATTCTATTATTCTGTAATTCCATAATTTTGTATAGAACTATGCCTAGCACTAGGGGCCAAGTGTTCCTGAGGAGCCATTCCCGTTCTGTACTCATGATAATGTCCAGGAGCTACTATATGGCTCCAGTCAGAGCTACATTTGTGTTGATCGTGTTCCAGGTAGCAGCTTCTTTTTTAACATTTGAAATTGAGTTTATGACAATTTATTTTAGATAGATAGGATTGCAGATCTAAAAACCCCATTAGAACTGGTCTATAACTTGGTCTATACCAGAGTGGCTGTGGTTTCAAGAAGCAAAGGCTTCAGTCAACAAAATTGAATATACTACTTGTTTGTATCTATTAATCTGAGAAATTGTGGTCAATGTGAATTAAAAAAAACTGGGCTTATATCCAGGTGGATGAACAGCCAAAAAATCAAGACTATTCAGAGAAGAAGAGTGGGGGAAAGGTAGATTCAAGGAGGGTGGATTTGTGGTTTAACAGCATGCCTAAAGATAAAAATCTCAGGAGCCCTAAAAGAATGATAACCACAAGTGCCTCTTGATCATCAAGCCTGCAGATGGATGGAGCAATTTAAGGCTGCCCGTCTACCTTAAAACAAAGAAGTCCCAAGAAACTTACTTTAGAGAAAGGAATGTGATTAGCTGAAGCTTCATAACTTGAAGGAATCCTAAAACAACAGTGATATTGTTCTCTAAATGTGGAGGAAGAGAAACCTGTTTATCTGTTTAAGTCAGATAAGTGTGTGTTTGGGGGGGGGATTTTAAAGCACTGTTACTGTTAAATAGGATAAAACATAAATAAGTGAGGCAATTAAAAGAAAATGTGTAATATCAGGAGCCATCTAGTTCCCCCTTCTATTCCAAGTAGGAACCCTCCTAGTAGCATATCAAAGTCAGAAGTATTGGATGAAAGGAAGAGTGTTCTTAAGGATATCTTCCCCAACTTGACATGGTCCACATGTAATGGATTCAATTCCCATCCTTCCCTGTCAGTAGAGCTATTGTTTGCAAATAATAAGCGTTGGGACACTATGCAACACCCTGAAATCCCCAGTTAGGTGAAGCCTGCTTTATTTTTTACCCTGTTTCTATTTGGAACCATTCTATTATTTGAGTTATAAATATATACTAATATATCACCATATTTATTATCATACATATATGATAATTTTCAACCTAGTAGTATCTTCAATTTTTTTTTGATGAGGCAAACCTTTAATATAGCGTAGCATCTTGCAAAACACAACCTATTTTTGCTGCTCTACCTCCATATATAATGTATTAAATTGTCAATAAATAATTTTAACTTATCTTGCATTTTGTGACACTGAATTTTCTACATAAACTGTGTTCTGAGTACTTTGTCAAACTACAGTTGAATCTAATATAAGAGAGAAAGAAGAACTATTATTTTCAGAACACTCTCCATATCAACCATTACTAAAAAAAAACCTCTCAAAATTAAAAAAAATTCTAAAGCTTCCAATATTTTCTCCAAATGGATAATCTATCTTTTTGATTATTCTGCTTGTACCTTATAAAACTCTTACTATGGCATTGATAGGGTAGTAGTATTATACATACAGTAGTATTAGTCTTACATGAAAACCAAGTTTATAAAATAAAATGGAGAGCAAAATAAACAGGCGAAAAATATAAAGCAATAACTTTAAATAAATGTTGTCTGGCTTATAAAGAGATAAGTATAGTAAATACAAGGCTTCAGTATATGGGAAAAGCTATTGGAACTCAATCATATGCTGTAAAATTTATTGGGTTTTGAAGACCTTTTAGGAGTTTTTTTTGCTTCTATCTCAGTTTAGAATGGCCTCTTCTGTGCATGGAATTGTCATACTTCATAGCACACAAGAGAGCTGCTTCCTAGGGGCCTTTGCTTTTTCGGTCATTACCAGAGCAAATATTAGTAAGCTTTTAATTAGGAAGTTGTTCATATAAATACATGGTCTGCATCACTGTAAGTGAAAAGTCTGTTCAATAGCTAGGGATGCTATTGACATTGTGTAGAAAGCAGCATTGGACTTTGAGAATTTTTCCCTAAAGAGTGTAAGGGAAAGATCAGTTAGCCTTCAAAAAGCTATTAGCAGGAGTCTGCAAATCTCTGCCATGTTTGTCATTTATAAGGTATGAAGAATCTTCAGTAGCCAATTTATAGCATCTTCAGCTCTTGGGCCGCCATCCCAGTTTATTGTCTTGATGGATGGATATCATGCTGTAACAATGTCACAGATGTTGGGACTCTAGAAAGAGTGCAGAGAAGAGCAATAAAGATGATTAGGGGGCTGGAGACTAAAATATATGAAGAACAGTTGCAGGGTATGGGTATGCCTAGTTTAATGAAAAGAAGGACTAGGAGTGATATGGTAGCAGTGTTCCAATATCTAAGGGGCTGCCACACAGAAGAGGGGGCCAACCTATTCTTCAAAGCATCTGAAGGCACGACAAGAAGCAATGGAAGGAAATTAATCAAGAAGAGAAGCAACCTAGAATTAAGGAGAAATTTCCTGACAGAATAATTAATCACTGGAGGTTTTTAAGAAGATATTGGACAGCCATTTGTTGGTATAGGGCAGTGATGGCTAACCTATGACATGCGTGTCACTCGTGACACACCGAGGCACTTTGACTGACACGCCTGTTGGTGTGGGGAAAACCTGCACATTTAGAGGCTGCCTGTGCTCTGCTCCAATCCCTGCTCCCTGCTTGTTGCGTGGAGGCGTGGTGTCACCGCTGCCGCAAGATCTTTGCAGCAGAGAACCAGTTTTAACCGCCATAAACTGAGGTTTGTCAGTTTCATTACCTCAGGAACGCTACAGGAGGAAAGGAGATCCATGAGGTTCACAGCCCTGTAAGGTGGCCTTCCGATCCCCACATCCTGCACCTGCAGCCCTGAGACCAGGGAGACGAGTTTCACAGCCCTGTGTGATCACCCCAGCCCAGTCCGTCATAAACCAAATTATTGATATTTCTTGAAGTGACACACGACCCGAGGAAGGCTACACTTTTTCCCGATTTTCGACACACCAAGCTGAAAAGGTTAGCCATCACTGGTATAGGGTCTCTTGCTAAAGCAAGGGGTTGGATTAGAACAGGGCTCCCAAACTTGGCAACTTTACGACTCGTGGACTTCAACTTCAGTTCTGGGAGTTGAAGTCCACAAGTCTTAAAGTTGCCAAGTTTGGAGACCTCTGGATTAGGAGATCTCCTCCAAGGTTCCTTCCAACTCTGTTGTACTGTATTCTGTTAAGCCATCTTACATAGAACCTGCCTCGTGCCAGGAGAGGTTTTTCTACTCCCCGAAGTCACAGTGGGATCCCAACATTATTCTTAAACAAACCTCTTCCTTCCCCTTTTTTGTCTTCTTCCCTCCCATCAAAGTGGAATACAGTTACAAGGCAAAGGACGAAGCCATGAGATTTCTTTTTTCCTGCTAGGGACTCAAAGCAGGATGCTAATTTCTTGCTAGCATTTTAGCAGCAGGAAACTAGCAATCTAGTTGCTAGCTGGGCTTCCTATCTGCCAATGTGAAATCTGTGGTCAACAGGACACTGGAGAAAGTGTTTGATGTGCTACTTATGGATTGCTGGATATTCGTACATCATATCTGTTTACCTTCTTATTTTATGTCAGATGTCTTTGAGCAGATTCCAAAAGCAAAAGCACTTTCAAAGCAGCATGTAGAGACTAAAAAATAACAAGTGTAACACTGAAACATGAGCAAAGCCAACAAACATCCATAGCTTAAAACCTTTTTCCAGAGTACAAATACAAATACAGAATACAAATCAGACATGCCAACAGTTAATACTCCAAGAACAGACATCCAGGTGCAAATTGGTAAGAATACAGTAAATGGGTCTTAACACTATTCATACAAAATGGAAATGATGGGATTTGATATGCACAAAATGGTAGCAGCTGTTCTGTAGGTATTGCATCACTGCAGAAAAAGACGCTTCTTGCAGAAATTGACTTAAAAGTCTTTACCAATAGAAGCCTAAGTTTTGTTAGCTGCCTTGATTACCAGCCAGAATAGAAAGATGATGTATAAATCAAATAAAGGGATAAATAAAAGTGCAAGGAATTGGATAGGTTGAACAAACGATGCAAAAATTCTGTCACCTTGTGTGGGCTACTAATTTCCCTCTATTTACCAGTGAATAAACAGTACTTTATCAGTAAAACATTGCTCTGTCTGATTTATATAATATTGGTGTATGTTAATATTTGTACAGATCCTACTCTGGTTCCATTCCAATTCACCAGATTATTATTTGAAGTAATTCACTAGTTTTAACATCAAATTGAGCATATCTTGGTTGTGCAATGTGGCTGTTTTCATTTTCTGTCCTGTCCAGCTATGTTCTGCAAATTTTAATACAAGCAGGCTCTTAACCCAAGGTCTCTGTTGTGTCTCAGAACAGCTTTGATTAACTGCTCAATTTCCCAATTGTTTATCTTCCATACATACCAGTGGGAGGCCCATTCCTCACTGGAAAGAGAACAGTATTGCAGTAGCTAGAATAACAAGGGGGAGGGGAAAATACTGTAGGGCAGTGGCCTTCTTTCAGGGAATAGACAATTTAGTCAAATGATTACTTTTTATACAACAAGGGAAGAACATAGTTAGGTCCTACTGAGCCTAAGAGTGACTTTAAGCTTAATTAAAATAGTGTTCTGCATAGGGACTTCATTTCCTCCAAGTCTATCCAGCCATGGGATATTGCTTGCTTTGTGTCTTTTGCATTGATTGATTAACGTATACATACTTCCTCCAGCATCCAACAGTTTAACATAAGGACATTCCTATGTACTTGTACCACTTCCAGTTTGTTTTCCCCCTTGGTGTAGCAGAATAGGGACACGGTGGCTAAGACGCTGAGCTTATCGGTCAGAAAGGTTGGCAGTTCAGCAGTTCGAATCCCTAGCACTGCGTAACGGAGTGAGCTCCCGTTACTTGTCCCAGCTTCTGCCAACCTAGCAGTTCGAAAGCATGTAAAAAATGCAAGTAGAAAAATAGGGACCACTTTGGTGGGCACATAACAGCGTTCTGTGTGCCTTTGGCATTTAGCCATGCCAGCCACATGACCACAGAGAAGTCTTTGGACAGCGCTGGCTCTTCGGCTTTGTAACTGAGATGAGCACTGCCCCCTAGAGCCAGAAATGACTACTAGCACATATGTGCGAGGGCAACCTTTCCCTTTCCCTTATAGCAGAATAGGCCCTTTTCTGCAGCATGTAAACCTTTCATATCTGTTTGCCTCTTTTCAATACCTCAACAAGTTTGCTTAAGTCCAATCAGTGACTGCCAAATTCAGACCTGATTTTTTTATACCCCTTCTTATGCACAAACAAAAAGTACCCCCATTTTCCGAGCTTTTCCTTAGACTCTGTGACTGCTTTCCATTTTTTAAACTGGATTTTGTTGATGACATATAGCAGCTATATACAATAAAATTCTGTTTCGATAATGCCAAGCACTTATATAATTTCTTGCAAATGCCCAGGGCAGGGGTGGTGGGGAGATACCCTGCTTCTCCAACAATACAGCCTCCCCCAATAGGAAATCCCAGCATGTTTTATAGGCATGAAATGAAATTAAGCCCCTCCCCCCAAATTGAGGCCTATATTAAAACATGCGAAATGGGGGGGAATGGTGGGGGGGCTTGCCATTAGGAAGTACTTTTGTTGCACACCCGGATATGGTGCTGCCTGCGTTGACCCCGATACTAAGTGCCCCACCAACGCCGAGGTCAACATCCAAGCCGTCACCGCCCGCCCGCCCAAAGATGCAAGGGGGGGGGAATTAAGTCACCCCCGAAAAGACGCCCTAGCCATTTTTTCAGGGCTCAAAAAAAAAATAAGACCCGGCCTTATTATATGAGAAACACGGTAGCATCTGATAAGAGACAGCAAAACCCACATGTGCAAAATGGGTGAGGCAAGAGACTGAGAAGGGGCCTTCCCTAGTTTTTTGGGCTATAAAGAGATGGCAGGATAACTGTCCTTTCAGACTTGTAAGATATAGTTTTACAATACAGTAGAATTAGCTTATCTAGTCACCTGGTCGTGTTTCCTCTTGATCTACCTGGTAAGGCTGACATAGTGATACGACTCATTTTACTGCTTCACATATTACTAATTATTGTCTATTTACTTATTTTTAAATTTTGTCACTTATCTTGCTTTGTTTGCAAATCACTCAAATTACTAACATTTTACAATAATTAAAACTCTTCAATAAGCTTAGATGCTAAAAAAAAACCACTGGGTCAAACCCATAAAATGTATGTGAACATTAAATTTTGTAGATTAAAATGCATTGAATGCAATGGTGCATGATTTTAAATTAAAAAGTTATTTGATGAGTGTGCAGTCCCTGGGAAAAACCATAGCTGCTTTTAGTAATTCTGGGCAGATGCAATATTTGTACTCCCAGGACTTCTAAAAGCACCTTTTTTCTTGAAAAACTCAAATCCTGCACAGCCCTAGTACAGACTCCTTTAAGTTCTTCTTTGCTTTATGTCATATATTTAAATAAATAGAAATATCATAATTTCCAAGGTGTGAATAATTCCATCACTGGCTAATGTAGCCTAGGCATCATTCAGAAAGTAAACTGTAGGTGATTTCAAGATTATTCAAAACTGGGATTGCCCCCACTGTACACTAACTAATAAGGCACTCTCAGCTGAGTAGTCTAAAAGGAGATCAAATCTATAGTAGCTGTCCACAGACGGCTTTTATACTGGCTCAAGACTTGTTGAAATCTCTCAAGCCATCCGACATAACTTGGAGAAAAAAATCTCTTTTGGTATCTTTTGTGGTGTAATGCTTGACTGGGCAGTGGGCACAGCTAGTTTTCTCTTTCGGTTGAAGCATGACAGTTGCTATCACACTTTGTCAAGAGAGAGAATTGCTAAAGGTTAGAATGGCAGTTCTGGGGAAAGGATCTGTCCTACCAAATCACTGCCCGACTGAGCAGGAAGAGACTGAATGGCTTTGGCCCGAGCACAGTCATGAATCTCCGAAGTAGACCTAACCAGGCCCGTTGCCTTCCTCCCGACAGCTATGGCCCCCAGATCGTAAGAAAAAGAACCTGGCACTTTGCACAGGAGAAAGCATGGGAAACGGAGACACCCAATAAGATCAAAACAAAGAACAAAGAATGACAAGATCTTATCTGAGTTTTCCTGGGACATACCGGTTTCAGCACTCTCTATTAAATAACTCTCACATGATTTCTTTTTTTAAAATCACAGTCATTGAAACGTGTAGGATTCTCCTTGTTGCTCCAGCACAAACTATCAAAAGGGCTCTTTTACTTTTGTAGCGGGAAAGATTTTCGTCATTTTTCAACTCAGTTTCAACAATTTCCAGTCTTTAAATCTGAAGAAAGGGGCAATAAGAGGCTACACCGTTGGACTCAGGTTGGTCCATAATCTGATGCTAGCTTTCCTTGCTACAACTAAGAACTCCTATATCGGTCATCCTTGACTTACAACCACAATTGAGCCCAAAATTGATGTTGCTAAGTGAGACAGTTGTTAAGTGAATTTTGACTCATTTAATGACCTTCCTTGCCACAGTTCTTAAGTGAATCACTGCAGTTGTTAAATTAGCAAAATAGTTGTTAACTGAATCTGGCTTCTTCAATGACTTTGCTTGTCAGAAGTTCAGAAAAGGTGATCCCATAACCCTGGGACACTGCAACCGTCATAAATATGAGTCAGTTGCCAAACGTCTGAGTTTTGATCCCATAACTATGGGCATACTGCAATGGTCATGTATGTCACTTTGTTCAGTGGTGTTGTAACTTTGAATGGTCATTAAATGAACTGTTGTAAATCGAGGACCATTAGTATAAGGCAATAATCAAATTAATTAAATTCTTTTAAATTTCTCTTATCTCTGAAGGCCTTCTACTATTATAATCCCCCATTTCTGATAATAGCTTCACGTTCCTCAAAACTACAAAAATAGGTGTCAAGTATACCAGAAATGAGGCTGGAAATTAAGCATTTTTTTTCTTACAAGAACTTTGCATTGGAACTTGGTTGTTGCCACTAGCAGAATTATGAGCAAAGCAAACATTATAATACACTATCATGTAGATTCTAGAAGATGTTAGTTCTGGATTTTATTTTGTTTTGTTTTAACTCAAGAAATAATATTTGTCAGAAAACATTCCTTTCATCTGGATAACTGAAACAATTCTATTCTTGATGGAAATGTAAATTTCTTCATCCTTGCAGTTTAAAAAATATAACTGTGCAACAGTGGTGGGATTCAATTTTTTTTACTACCAGTTCTGTGGGCATGGCTTGGTGGGCATGGCAAGGGAAGGATACTGTAAAATCTCCAGTCAGAGGTGGGATTTGCCGGTTTTCCTAACTACTCAAAATTTCCGTTACCGGTTCTCCAGAACTGGTCAGAACCTGCTGAGTGCAGCCAGGCAGATGACAGACTAATAATCAGAAATTATTAAGTCACATTGCTAGTCAGTCACAGCTCCAGCCTGCATTCTAGCCAATCACAGCATTCTAAAAAAAATTCTCTCTTCTGCTTATGAGGCCATTAGGATCTTTTCTATTTGGGCTTCCACATTCAGGGCAATGTTTAACATTTGGACTTGAATGTTCAGAGTGCACTTCAAGCTTTCTCCCTGTTTTCTGTCTGAGGTACAACAACAGTTATTAATAAACAGTGGGCAAATTCATGCATCTCATTAAATGGTTCTTTAGGGTTTTCAGTGTCAGCCCAAATCAGCCACTGATGATTTATTTAATAAAACATAGTTAACAGACAATGGCATATATGTTGAAACCCAATAGTGACTTCTGGCACCAGCTAATATGTCACTGCTACAAATCCTTTCAGAGTGCAGATGGTAACTGAGCTAGCATTGCAATCATACATTGACACTTAGCAATTCAACCTGTTTTGTGATCTATTTCCTATGACCTAAGAACATTCCTTTGTTATTCTCAACAATTATTTCCTGTCTGGCATATACAAGATTACAACAGTACAAGAAACTAACCAAAGTCTCTTACTGCCTTGGCCAGCACTAGAGTGTTGAATGAGCTTATACTTCTGGCTAGAGGTCACAGATCCTTCTCCGCTTCTGTACTTCCAGGACAATTTAGTCATATTTATTTCCTTTGTATTTGAAAATAAAAATGACAAGTAAAGCAAAAAATATTTTTTAAATTGCAAAAACCTATCTGGGGATTGGGGGGGACATATTTCTAATACGAGCAATGACAGTAAGTATTATTCACAGTGAATTGGAGAACACAATATTTTAACATTTCACATTTCAAAGGTTATTTGATTTAGATTAAATATAGTATTGTTCTCTCCTCTCTTTTTTGGTAACAGTGTAAGCTTCTCAGACCTGAGAAAATAAACAGGATATTAAAGAGGATTTGATTAAGCAAATGATCACACAGTCATTATCTCTCATTTATTTTATTTATTTATTTTTCACATTTTTGTACTCCCAATCTCCCTCAAAGAAAGACATTGAGTACAATTATGGTTTATTACATGTGACAAAGAGAAAATAGGTGGTGGAGTTCAGGAAGTATTCAACCCCTCTTTAGAAATAGGAAGTCTAACTTCCAGAAGAAATGTTTGTTGGACTTAGAAAAACAATGCTTAATAGGACGACTGCAATGGGTCCCTTCTCAGTCAAGATGCTTTGTAAAGTGATAGACTAGGTTTAGGCGGTCTTAGGTAAAATTACTTTTCTTACCTCATTTTAGTGGGACTTTAGATTTGGGCCTAACCTAAGAGAGACATGCAGATATGTGACACCTATTATGAGAGGGACAGTTGGAAATGCAAATCTGTTTGTTGTCTTTTGCATTTATTGATTATTGATACCATCAACTACAATATTCTTTTGGACCAATGGTTCAAACTGGGCATTGGTTGGACCACTGTTTGTTTGTATAAGCATATTCTTTTGGAGCCAGGTATGCTAGTTTGGAATCTGCCTACAGTAATAAACCGACTGGAGACTAACAAACTAAATCTCCATGCAGGTAAGACAAGACAATGTTCAAGGCCAGTTTGGTCCGGATGACAAAAGGAGGAATTCTAGGAGGAATTTTTCTAGAGGAATTGTTCTCTCTATGAAAAATCAAATATATAGCTTGAATTTATCAGTGCTTATGTGATGCTTCTGTTCTGGAGATGAAATAGTCATCATATTTGGTAATCATGGGTAGCTTTATCCTCAATTAATTTTTCTAATAAACTTTTAACATCATCCAATTGGTTGCATCAATTATATTTATAGTAGTGAATTCAATATGTGCCGCAAGAAGAAACCATTATTTTTGCTTATCTCAAATGTTCAATATTGTCCCTGTCCTAATGTCCCCTTTTATTTGTACCCATTTCATGTAGTCATAATCATGTTCTAATTATATCTGTTTTCTAATACATGCTTGACAAATAAAATAAATAAATTATATCATACTGGAAGTTAATGTTATGTAAGACGGAAGGGGAGAAACTTTTGTTTCTCCACACCACTACTTTTCTGGTCCTCTATCATGCCTGTTATTTGCCTTCTATACTACGCTGAAAAGCCTTCAAAGCTTTTCTGGTTTTTTTTCTTCCCTGAAATCATGTCAGAGACTGCTGGACAAGTTCCTGCAGTTTGCTCAGCAAAGTTTTTCACAAGTAGACAGCCTTTGCCTCCTTCCTAGGACTGAGAGAGAACGACTAGCTCAAGGTCGATCAGTTGGCTTCATGCCAAGGCAGGACTAGAACTCCCAGTTTCTGACCTGGTGTCTTAACCACGATATCAAACTGGCTCTCA